GGTATGCGCCGACGCAGGCTCGGTGCTTCTTCCTCTGCGGGCGGTGGTGGTGGTAACGCTGTAGTAGGCTCCGGCAACGCTAGCAACATGCTCCGTTTCTATACCGATGATTCTCCAGGTCTGAAGATCAGCCCGACTGTCGTCCTTGTGATGAGCCTATGCTTCATTGGATTCGTTACTACTCTCCATGTCCTAGGCAAATTCTACCGCTACCGATCTGGCTCTGGCTCCGGAGCCTGATTATTCGGGTTCGGATCTTTGATTTCGGATCATGGTGATTTTGAAACCCACGTCATACAGGAAAAAAATTGTTTGTTTGTTGTTTTTAATTTCAGTTTTCGTTTCACGATCGTTTGCTGGTTCTGTTTCTGTTTTAGTTTTAGATGGCTGAATTTGACTCAGTATATTAGGAAGATGATAAAAGAAGCTTCCAATTAAGGGAATTTTGAACGTTTACATGTGCTTTTTGTTTGTTCTAATCAGTAATGCGTAGTTTTTGTTCAGAAAAGGAATATTAATTCGGAATTTCGATCCATTTTACCTATATTTATTCGTTTGTCTTTTATGTTTTTCATGTGCTTTTGAATACGTGAAGATTTGGATTCATATGTGAGATTGATGAATACTGTGCTAAAGAACCATAATAGAATGAAACGCAGAGAAGTTAAAAAGCTGGCCATAACTAATTCGGGATTAAGGCCCTTCTTGTTTTAGCAATCACCACAATTCAGAGGCACTTGTAATTGTTCGTAGTTATAGCACATGGTTCTAATTGATTTTGGAGTAGCACAGATTTTTCTTTGTGCATTTTACAGTTACAAGTCTTAGAAATTTCTTATAGCTATTCTCCAACAGTTGCAAGGCTATGGAAATATCAACCGGAAATCCTTAGTTACCTTCCAGTTCCCTTTGATGGTAGTAATAAGTAGATTTAATACTATGAGATTAAATTATATAAAAATAAAAATATCTCTCAAATCATGTTGTTTATTTTTTTAATTTTATGTTTTATATTTGTACTAATAAATTTATTTAAATAAGTTGGCTGATATTACTTACTCTATATTTTTTTAATTAATAATTATAAACGTGAATAGAGAGCAACTTAGTGTCCGTTTGGATTTACTTATTTTAGGTGCTTTTAAGTCAAAATAGCTTTTAAGCAGTTTTGAAGTGTTTGAATAAAGTTAAAAAGTGTTTATAAACACTTATTTTAAAGTCAAAATAACAAAAATAAGTCAAAAGTCATAAGTTAGAAATCCTAACTTGTGGCTTTTGGCTTATAAGTCATAAGCCAAAAGCCAAAAGCCAATCCAAACATGCCCTTACAGTCAAGATGACAATTTCGTAATTTAATCTATATTTAGTTGGCCACTAATTTCACTCCAACGTCACTTTTAATTGTAGCTTCATTTTTGTGGTTTGCTCGATGACTGCCAAGTGGAGCTACTAGAGCAAATTGGAAAACTGTCCTATTTTCCGTTCTATATTTATGTTTTTTTCCATTTTAATTTAACACTATGTCATCCCTCTCTGTGAATAATTAGACCACAATAATTATAATTTTATAAAATTTATGCATAAATTATCATATTTTATCTATTATATCCTTGATAGAGTCATTAATTAATCTTGAAAATGTATTTATTATTTATTATAAAGTTGACTTAAGAAAATATTAAATAAAGGTAGAAGGATAAAGTTACGTCATTTCTTAATGCAAGTGCAAAGTAAAAATGTGACATATAAAATGAGAAGGAGAAAGTAATTCTCAAGTCCAAATCCCACAATAAACTTCATGGAACGTCTAACAAAGTTGATTGAGATTAGCATTTGGACATGTAAATCCCATGGAAGAAGACATAAAAAATTAAAAATACTTCTTTTGTTCTTTTTTAGTTGTCATGATAAAATTTAACACAATTATTAAAAGAAAATTACTCTCTTTGTTTTTATTTATATGTCACCATTTTAGATTTTAAGTCCCTTAAGAGAACTATGCAAGTTTATCTTTGTACTCTTATTTAGTACTCCCTCTGTCCCTAATTACTTGTCCACTTTTAAATTGACACACCTGTTAAGAAAACAATAATTGATATAGTGAGTTTACCATTTTACCCCCTATTAATTATGAAGATGAATTAAAAACTAGTTCGGCCATTTTCAAAGTAATTTATTGAGGATATAATGGATAAGAAAAATTTGTCATTTCTTGATTTGTCAAAATGGACAAGTAATTAGGGGATAACTAAAAAAGGAAATGTGGACAAGTAATTAGAGACATAGGGAGTATTTGTTGGGTTCTGAAGGGTGATTAGGTCGTCATGCGGAAGCTTACAATGTGCAAATCATATGGTTGATAAATCAGATAAGAAAAACTTATACTAAAAATCAAAATATTATTATATCAAAACTAATATAAAGAAAAAACATTGAAACTTTAGAGAGAATAAATCTTCCCGTAAACAAGACTCTTAAACGACTACATTATGAATGTTATTGTTTTTGTGTTAAGAAGAAACAAACCTATATTTATAGAGTCCTAAAACCTTCCCTACTAGAAAAGAACTAGCTACTCCAAAATCTTTTCCTAAAAGGAAAGAATACACCATATATGAAAGAATATTATATTTTCCTTTCAGGAAAAGTAAAAACATTTATGGTAATGTTTTGTCTTTTCTTTAAGAAAAATAAATCTTAAATTATGGTAAGAAAATCAGGGCAAAACCCTAACAGTATTCTCTTTAACTCAAGTTTTTAATAAATAAACATAAATTATTTTATTTTGATTAATTAATTGGCCAATGAACATGAATTAACCATTTAGTTTCCCTATGTTGGTCAAATTCTTACTTTCAATGCTAATGACTTTCAAGGGTGTGTCATTTATACATTAATTTTGTGAAATCCCAAATATTAAGAATTATCTATTTTTAATAAAGATGACATATAAGTATGAACGGAGGGAGTAATAGTATTGTTTAACTAATATATTTCCTTATTAATTCTTTAATCTCTATCTGTATACTCTATATGTATCTCTTAATTCTAGAATAATTAATGCTAAAGGCAAAGTTAAAGAAAAAAAAATATACTGACAACTATATTTTGGAACAAATATGTTTAGTGACAAAAGAAAGGAGGAGTATCATTATATTTGAAACTAGTAAAATTACCCGTGCTTCGCGCGAAAATTTAATATCATGAAATTTATAAAATAATACTTAAACCTAACAGTTATTAAAAGTAAAATAATATATTATCTTACATACAAGATTACGTAGTAATAAAATTAATAATGTAAAGAAAAATGAAAATGATTACATCTTATCATTTATCCTTATCCTTAATAACATAAGCAAAAATTAATGACTGTAAAAATACATATCAGGATCTGTAACATAAGCAATGGTATTAGTGAGCCACTCATCAGGAGCAAAGTGCACAAATATTTAATTGTGAAGAAGAAGAAGAAGAGGAGATTCAGAATTTTTGTTGTTTTAAAATGAGAGGAAATCCCTCTATTTATAGAGAATAAAGGGTAGTGTGAACAAATATTTATTGTGTCTTATCGGAAATGTTACAACTATTTGGAAAAGTTGCAACCCTTTGAAAAGATCACAACCTTTCATAAAAGTTACAACTTTTCATAAAAGTCGCAATTCTTCATTAAAATCGCAACTTTTCATAAAAGTCACAACATTTCATAAAAGTCGCAATTTTTCATAAAAGTCGCAATTTTTTCATGAAAGGGAAAGACTAGTTTTGTAAATAAATAAATTAAAAGAGAATTCTGGTTTGTGATGGCGCCACGTAGGCAAGCCGAAAGGTCTCTTGTATATATATATAATTGTCTCAAAATAAAAGTATTGCCTGAGTTTTTGAAGCCAAAAGGTATGTAAAGCTGTGGGCGGAGACTAGAGGAAAAAAAGTACTATACTTCCGAAAGGTTTCATTTACTCTCAAACCATTTGCAACACTTGCTTCGATTCTTGAATGTCTCCCGTCACTTTGATGATGGGACTATTTATTTCTATTAGTACTGTTTCTATATTGTGCATGTTCTTGACTATGGGAATTGTAGTATTATTCATCACTTTTGCTCTAAATATGTACTGCGTCAATTCATTGTTAGGGTTCAAGATATCAACACTCACTTCAATTCTTGAAATTTCTAGTATTTTGTTACTCGTGTCATTATTTATTTCTATTAGTAACTGTTTCTACATTGTCCAGGGACAAAGATCATGGTCTTACTATGGAAACTTGTGAATATTCATCATATTTCTTGAAATTTAAAGAAGGGGAAGGTAATTCTTGTCGGCTGTATTGGTTCTGTTCCCCAATCATCTTTACCCAAACTGTGAGAGAGACTCCAAAGTTTTCCTATCACTTACTCATGAATGATTCCATGTTGCCATCATATTTTCCATTTCTTTCTAAAGGTTCAGTTGACTTACTTGTACTAATACTCATAGTTGAAGGTGTCACAAATAGTCTCCATATCACTTTTTCGCTTTAAATCCTTCAAATATGTACTGTGTCAATTCATTGCTAGGGTTCCACGACATCATACCCAGACTCTCTTTTAAGTATCATTATGGCGGCGACTAACAGAGTTCCAACGTCAATAAAGCATTCTGATTTCTGGGTAAAGTATGTCATGCAGTTTTCCTGATTTCTTTTAGGATACAGCTTAATTTGGACAATTCTCACACAGCTTTTTGGGCATATGGTACAGGGGTGCTACTATGTATGTGGTGACTTGTTCTCTTAGTTTGTCAAAGGCCAAGAAGATGCTAAGTATACAAAAGAGATGCTGTCAGCTTCATTACAATTGTCTATGCTATAGCAGGAAGCTGATAAGCTACAAAAAGGTTATACTATAACTATTTAGAATGTTAGCCCAAAGAGGCGAAAAACTAGTCTATGGGCAACTCCCTCATAGGTTTGTACATATGCTTACTAACTGAACCCATTGTCTTGATTTGATAAGTAGATATCTCAAAAACTTTTGCCTGGGCCCTCTAATATTGAAGATGTTGTTGGTAAACATTTGCTCCGTCTGGTTCTTGATTGATATATTCTTAACATTATGTTTGCTAGTGTGAACGTTAAATCATTAGAGGCTTCTGCACTCTTACATTTGAGACTTTCGTGAAGTTTGAAGCTTTTGTGTATAGGTGCAATGGTTGAGTGCTTTGAATATCTGCCCTGTTACTTGTTATCACAGTACGCATTAAGAACTTTACCACTGAAATTGGAAGCTTTGTACTGATGCAATAGCATATGCATGCCAGAGAATATCTCCCCCTTAGACATTTAACCTTATATGAATGCTCATGCTGATAGATGCATCAGCCTTGATTTAAATGTAAATTGAAATGGTAAATTAACCAATCTATAACTTTTGTAAAGATATTGAATGATACCATGACCATAGTCCATACAAGTTGAGCTAATATCGTTTATGTAAAGGTGACGTGCTCGTGCTTTCCATTAATTTTCTATGCCCAACTTCAGGAAAGTAATCTCTACTTTTCTGCTCTGCATTTAAAGAAGAAGTGATCTAGAGTGTGGTATTCTATGTGATTTTCTGCAGTGGGATTCTCCAAGCATTTTGATTAATCTTATCCATACAAGTTTGTCTTTGTACATAACTAATGCTTGCATTAGTTATACCGATACACTCTATTGTGTATTGAAGAGTGTATTACTAATACCATGGATTTCTAGGTATTAGTAATACAAGAAATTTAATACATGCATTAGCATGGTTAAAGGCTCAGTTAGTTATACACTCTATTGTGTATTGGGGAGTGTATTACTAATACCATGGATTTCTAGGTATTAGTAATACAAGAAATTTAATACATGCATTAGCATGGTTAAAGGCTCAGTTACCCCTCAATTTTATTTTTTTACATCTTTTCCATCATAAGGACATCTTTGTAAATAAATATTTTTATGCAATGCATGCTATTTTTAATACACCAAACCAAACAATGCATAAGAAATAATCTATGTATAATTAATGCAAGCATTACTAGTACAAGCATTATTAATGCAAGCATCACTAATACACTCTATTTAGTATTATTACTCTACCAAACAACCCCTAAGTTTATTACATGTATGTCTTAATTTTGTATATTTATACATGCTCCAAATTCAAAGCAGTGATTTTGGTTAAACCAGCCTAACTAGATTTGTCTATGTACAGGACCCGAGACTTAGTTCCTTAACCTTTTTAGACCTTTTAATACGTGAGACCCCCTAGGTTCTTGGTGGCAACATATTTGATTTATTCAGTTTTCCCTTTCCTGTTATGTTTTTAGAAAAACAAATCTTTATTTCTTTTTTGAGAAGGAAAAAAATAATAATAAAGATTTGTATACTCGGATATTACTTCAATAGGCTATAATAGTTGTAGTGTCATGGACTAACATTGCATTCCACTACATTATCTATTGCAAGACCCGCTGCAAATGTATTTCTATTTCTGATACCCGAGATAGATTACAATACCGAGTATAATTTTCTTCTTTTATTACTTTCCTATTATATCCTAAAGTTGATATAGTTGCTAGCATAAACATTACTAATCCGAGTTTTAACATAAAAACGAATAAGGTCCGAGACTGAGAGCTTCTTACTGCTATTATCATCTTTATATTTCTTTTGGTCTTTAGATTTTGGCGGTATTCGTTCATAGTCGAAGCACACAAAAAGGGCAGAGAAGAAGTGAATCTACACACTGTACAGATTACTGTAATCTTAGCAGGGCATTTATTAGTATACCCTTTTTGGCAAATTCCTTTAATTGAAACTCAATTTTAAGATGGCAAGCCTGAAAATTCACGCAGTTAAGACAACCTCAGTCCTACTCACACACTTAAAATTGTTCCTTAACAACACTAAAAGTCCTACTCACTCATTGACAGATGTGCGCTGCCTGTGCTGTATGCGCTCCAGTTTTCACATAACCCCTCTTTTTCTCTCCGTCTCTCTCTTGCTTGTCCTTTGTAAACTAGTACTAGTGTTACCTTTTAGGTTTTTCTGCACTTCCGTTTTTTCCTTTGATCCCTGGTGATTTCTTTTGGGTTTTTGAGACTTATAACCTGGTTTCTAAACTGCGGTGCTCTGGAAAAAGGAAATGATTTCCCTGGCTCGTGCTTCTGTGTCTGAGGAGGAATGCAACAAAAAACTTCTTGAAGTTGGGAATGAGCTGCTTCAGCAGCCCCCATCTTCTAAAGAGGAGCTTCTGGAGAAACTTGATGTGAGAGCCTTTTCCCTTTTCTTTTTCTTTCCTCAATGTCATAAGCGAAAAGTACATAACAACCAACGATCCCTTTTTTATGTATGTAATGTAGATTGGCCATGGTTTGCATCAGGTGAAATTCTTATAAGCACCCCTAGTGAAAGATCATCTCCTATAAGAGGTTTATTTCTTTATCAGGACATTCTAGTAATTAAAAACTTGTCTATGTTTAATTAACTTAGCAAAGAGGGGCAAAGTCCAGATAAGGGATGCGGTAGGTTGATTCACTGATTCTCGTAATAGGGCTGAAATTGCGGAAGGGATACATAGGTTTCATACAGCTGACCCCCTCTAGTTTGGGATTGAATTGCAGGGCTTGTACAGCCAGATAATGTGATACCTTATCCTTCAATAAATATTATACCACATTGGATGGTTCTTAAGTTTTTGAACTTTGCTGATTGTTGGGTTGGGTTTTACTTTCTGATCTATTAAGTGTAAACAAATTTACCTAACCTAAAAGCTGGGCCTCGATTGTGATATCTACTATTATCAATATGTTCCTTGCACATAACTAGGGATTAAGGATCAGTCAACACGATCCATTTTGTATTATGTTTATTCTAAAGGAACTTGGCATTGCTTTTTTTCTTGTGCTTCAACTTAGGTTTTATCATAGATTAGGATTTCCATGTGACATTTCTTATTTACACTAAAGTGAACGTTCTCATTTCGGAAGTTATGTCGACTCAATTAAAGTATTTAATTTACCCCTTAATTTGGACTTTCTTTGCAGGAACTGGGTTCTGTCTCAAACACCAAAGAAATCAATTTCCCCAAAGCTTGTAAAAAACAACGTAAACAACGTAAAAGGAAGTACTTTCTATCACAAGAAGAGGTAAACATCTGTTATCATTAATTTGATCTGGCTTTCAGCTATTAATATTAGCCTACTTTCTGTAAGTGCTTAGTAAAGTGAATGAATGTATTTGTTTTGGAATATTATGTCAATTCAGGTCAAGTGTTTGTTCTACCCCTTATTTTTCCTCAACCTTGTTGGATGCTCAAACTGATTCTAAATGTGAGTTCTCCTAGGCATTAATTTATGATAATTGGTTCTTGTTATATCCTCTTCAATTAGTCTTTTTCACCCTGCACGACAACCATTTTGGTCTCTTAAAGTGTTCAATGTGTCATTGTGAATGGCAAACTGCAGCAGAAGTTTAGATGAGAAAGTAAACCTAGAAAGCATGCATGGCTAAGTGATAGAAATCTAAAAACATAATCTTAGTATTTATTTCATAACACTTGTCTATGCTCGAAAATTTGGCAGGGGGAAGCAACTGATGATCCGACTCCTCCAACAATGTAAGTTATTTATATTGCATTTAGACCCTCTTTGCATAATAATGAATGTAATTCTAGCTGAAAAAAGTTTTTTTTTGGTAGGACCATGCAACATAATTTAACTCCAAAAGGAGTACACGGAAATAAGGGGGTCAGGGTTGATGTGCATGGCTATAAAGTAAAAGTGAGCAGTGGTCCCATACTCACTGCCATTTTTGCCAAGTATGGTGACATTGCAGTCAATTGTCACTATAAATCACTGGCTTTCAGAGTTTCCCTTCTTGATATAGTTTGTGATGTTGTAAGGAGGCTGAAAACCGGTGATGTTGGCTCTACTTCCATCAAAGATATGAGAGCTTTGGTTTCTGCTGCAGCGAAGGTCAAGCTTGATGTAACTTGGCTGCAGCAGTATCTGGATGAGATTTCAGAAGAGGGAGATATGGAGAAGAAGTTATTGGATTTGATGGAGTTAAGCAAGACTACCATGCTTGTATCTATAGCAGCTAAAAAGGACATGGTAGAAAGGAATAGGAAGGTCTTCGCTGCAGAGGAACGGCTCAAAAAGGCTGAAAAGCGCTTGCAAGAGGCCCGAAGCCGAGCAGGAAAGGTGGAAAGGTCTGTCAAAGTGTTTGAAACAGTGCGTGAAAAAGTTCAGCAGGACATCAAGGAGATTGAGGATCAAGCACAGTATCGGCTAAGTAGGTTAAATGAGCTTCTGTAGAGCTGTTTTATCCTTGCTACTTTTCTTGAACACTATTGCCAAGTAAATCTAAAACATGTATTAGATCAACTTTTTAAATTTGATATCTGGAATGGTGTATATACAAGTAAGTCTGTCCGTGTGGATATGGATATTCTTATTTGTTGAATTGTGGAGCGAGACAATTTCTCAGTAAAATGAGTTTATTAACATTCTTTTTACCAACACATAAAGTTTTGTTGAATATCCTCTTCTCCAACAATATTTAGGATTCCTTGAACACATTCATGTATATTGCATAGCGTTACACAACAAAATTGTGCACATTCATCACTCGAATTTTTTTATAATCCATGACATAGAGAACAATAATCCACAATCAATCTATTAATTCATCACTCAAATACTAATTCTACCGCCCAAATCCCACAATAACATCATGGAGCATCACATGAGACTAGCTATCGGGATTGCAAAACCCAATAAGAAAATTATAACAACAATAAAATAAGGTGATAAACGAAATACAATAAAAACAAAATGCTATACAGGTAGAATAACTTTTTATATGACAACTTATTTTGAAATAATTAATTCCGTAATTTGGTTCCAACCAAACGATCCTGGTATGACTAGTCCTCCGGAACAACGTATCGAAATTATGAAGCCAAAAGGTATGTAAAACTTGACCTCCCGTCATTCAATCTTTTCCAAACCGGAGACGAACGCTTTCTTCTATACAAAGAAGTACTTCGGAAAGGCCTATCGTCGATTTATCTTCATATTGATTTCTTTAAAGTTACTTCGGTTACTTATTTCTATTAGTACTTTAGTAGTAACTGTTTCTATATTGTGGTGGACAAAGATCATGTTCTTGACTATGGAAACTTGTAATATTCATCTCCATATCACTTTCGCTCTAAATATGTACTTCATCAGTTCATTGCTAGGATTCAAGATACCAACACTCGCTTCAATTCTTGAAATTTAAAGAAGGAGAAGGTAACTCAGGAGGATTTCCAGTTACTTCTGATACTTTATTTCTATATTGTGCAGGGACAAAGATGGAAACTTGTAATATTCATCTCCATATCACTTTCGCTCTAAATATGTACTTCATCAGTTCATTGCTAGGATTCAAGATACCAACACTCGCTTCAATTCTTGAAATTTAAAGAAGGAGAAGGTAACTCAGGAGGATTTCCAGTTACTTCTGATACTTTATTTCTATATTGTGCAGGGACAAAGATGGAAACTTGTAATATTCATCTCCATATCACTTTCGCTCTAAATATGTACTTCATCAGTTCATTGCTAGGATTCAAGATACTAACACTCGCTTCAATTCTTGAAATTTAAAGAAGGAGAAGGTAACTCAGGAGGATTTCCAGTTACTTCTGATACTTTATTTCTATATTGTGCAGGGACAAAGATGGAAACTTGTAATATTCATCTCCATATCACTTTCGCTCTAAATATGTACTTCATCAGTTCATTGCTAGGATTCAAGATACTAACACTCGCTTCAATTCTTGAAATTTAAAGAAGGAGAAGGTAACTCAGGAGGATTTCCAGTTACTTCTGATACTTTATTTCTATATTGTGCAGGGACAAAGATGGAAACTTGTAATATTCATCTCCATATCACTTAAGCTCTAAATTATTCTCACTTCTTCCTCATCCCATAAATATGTACTGTGTCAATTCATTGTTAGGGTTCCACGCCATTATCTCAAGAGTAGCTTCAAGATCTTTTAAGTACCATAATGGCAGTGACTAACGGAGTTCCAGTTGAGAACTTTTGATGGAATTATTTCTACTAGTAGCTGCATTAACTGTTTCTAAATTATTATTTTGCTAGCACAAAGTAAGTCTGTTATGCGACCTTTGTACATCAATAGGCTATGGTCTTATCTGCATATGGTAGTTATGAAGCCTGGAGTAGTTCATAATCAGTCGACTGTTGAAATAAAGATGTCCATGTGATTTATGAGGTAGGGGTAGAAATACTCTCAGTTGAGGATCTGTATTCTAAAAAATAAGTATTAGTACGTTTTTATCTTTCTAAATTGATCTTTCAGTTGACTTTGGAAACTTGTAATGGCTTCAGATATGATCAAGAGAATCAGCGGACGTTGAAATAACACTGTCATTTGTGATTTGTGAGGTAGGTTAGGCTAGTACTCTCACTTGGAGAAGAATTATTTTGGGTAAAGTATGTTATGCATTTTTCCTTCTTTAGGAAAATTTATTGATATCTCCTGAAACGTTTCAGGGGACAGCTTAAATTGGACTCTTGTGTAGGGCTTTGGGCATATTGTACATGGGTGCTACTATGTATGTGGTCACTGGTTCTCTTAGTTTGTCAAAGGTCAAGCATCCTCTTAGTTTTTTTAATTTTTTTAATTTTATGAAGTAAGTAGATTTATTGTTGGCATGAAGATATTAGTGTACAAAAGAGATGCTGTCAAATTCATTACAATTGTCTATGCTACAAAAAGGTTATACAAAAATATTTAGAATGTTAGCCCAGTCCCCAATGAGGCAAAAGACTATTTTATGTGCAACTTCCTCTTAGGCTTGTATATGTGCTTTAGTATCCTTCAATAACTGAACCCATTGTCTTGGATTTGATCATTAGATATCTCAAGCAGTTCTCGTTATCTATTCATCTTTCTATCATTTACACTCCAAATTGTTCTCCCTTATGAATATGAACTATGTCAATGCATTTCTACGGTTCAAGATACCAAGACTCGCTTCAATATGGCGGTGCCTGACAGAGTTAAATAATTCCATGTTGCCATTATTTTTCTTGAAATTTAAAGAACGAGAAGGTAACTCATGAGGATTTCCTGTTGATACATATAACTGTATTTGTTATGTTACTTATGTAGATCATATGATTATTTAGTTACTTTGATGGGATTATTTCTATTAGTAGCTGCATTAACTGTTTCTAAATTGTGCAGGGACAAAGATCATGGTTACAAATACTGTCAGTTGTGCAAGGACAACTATTTCTGTTATGCGACTGGTTCTCCCGTATTCTCACATTTGTCAAAGATCAAGCTTCCTCTTAGGTTTGCATATGTGCTTTAGTGGTCTTTAACTGTTCTCCTTCTGTAGCCGAACCCGTTGTCTTGGATTTGATCACTAGATATCTCAAAAGCTGCTATCTGGCCCTTCTAATATTGAAGATGTTGTTGGGAAACATTTCTCTATCTGGTTCTTGTTTGATGGTAATGCCCAGTGCTCCCTCAGGCATATATTTTCTTAAGATTATGTTCTTCAGTCTGAATGTTAAATCATTTGACGTTTCTGCACTTAGGGTGTGTTTGGTACATGGGAAAATGTTTTCCTAGACAATATTTTATTGGAAAATAAGTGGGTTTCTAGTAAGAAAAATAATATTATTCCAAGAGCATTTATATATGATCTAGCAAAACACTATGTGGCGGGATGAGGTAGGGATTTGGGGGTTCAGGGGTTGAATGATTAATGGGGTGGGGATTGGGGATGTTTGGTGGGTGGGGAGGACACAATGAACTTGAAATGTCACTTATGAAACTTGTTTTCTCTACTTTCATTAGAGAAGTCTAGACTAAATGTTTTCCAAAATATTTTGACCAACTACACATGAGAATTGTTAGAATAGAAATAAGTATTTCCTACTTAGAATAGGAATAGGAATAGGAATAGGAATCCTAGTTGGAAAAGGATTCCAATGTAGTGTCTATAAATAGGGTCTCAATGTAACTATTTAGATACACAATTCAATAATATATTTCTCACATGGTATCAGAGCATTGGTGAGAACAAACAAGTCACCGTATGTCTATGTCAATTTCCGGTGACTGTTGGGTCTGATTTTGTTATTCTTTTTTCCTTCTGTGGGTGTTGTGCGAAAACCAACACCACCACGAGGCTCGGAAAGCCCCCGCGACCAAACCCCAGCCAGAACCACCGGAAAACATCACCCCACGCGCTCTCATGCGCTGATCGGAGGTGGTAGTTTTCGGCGAGATCTGGCTCACGCGCCGGCGCGTGAGGGTTTTTCTGATCATATTTTTTGAGAAGTTTTTTCACAGTTGGGGTCGTCCAGCCATTACGACCAGGCCCATATTGCTTTTGACCAGTTTTTGTTGTTTCCAAGACAAATTTAGCATAATGTCTTTTGGGTGTGATGTTTTTGGTTCTAAAAATATGGGGATTGGAAGTTCTAGCCCTATAATCACTTCAGAACTTTTATTGGGAAGTTCAAACTATTTATCTTGGGCTTCCTCGGTTGAGCTGTGGTGCAAGGGTCAAGGTGTCCAAGATCACTTAACGAACAAGGCTTATGTGGTAGATGTAAAGGCAATGACTAGTGAGGAAGATGTAAAAGCCAAAGCCAAAGCACAATGGGAGAAAGTAGATGCTCAATTATGTAGTCTCCTATGGCGTTCTATTGATTCCAAGTTGATGCCCTTGTTTCGCCCATTCCAGACGTGTTATACAGTTTGGGAAAAGGCTCGTGCTTCATACACTAATTACATGTCTCGATTCTATGATGTGATAGCTCGATTGACCAACTTAAAGAAACAAGAATCCGATATGTCTACTTACTTGGGACAGGTATAGGCAGTCATGGAGGAATTTGACACATTGATGCCAGTTACTACGAATGTGGAAAAACAACAAGAATACTTAGTAATCCTGAAAGGTATAGACGGCTTGTTGGAAAGTTGAATTATCTCACAGTGACTAGACCTGACATCTCTTTTCCCGTGAGTGTTGTGAGTCAGTTTATGACTTCCCCTTGTGATAGTCATTGGGAAGCAGTTGTTCGTATTCTACGATATATAAAGTCAGTTCCCGGTAAAGGACTACTCTTTGAGGATCAAGGCCATGAGCATATCATTGGATATACAGACGCTGATTGGGCAGGATCACCCTCTGATAGACGTTCGACATCCGGATATTGTGTTTTAGTAGGAGGTAATTTGGTGTCGTGGAAGAGTAAGAAACAGAATGTGGTTGCTCGATCTAGTGCAGAATCAGAATATCGAGCAATGGCGACAGCAACTTGTGAGCTAGTTTGGATCAAACAGTTGCTGGGAGAACTAAAATTTGGCAAAATTGATCAGATGGAACTTGTGTGTGATAATCAAGCGGCTCTTCATATCGCATCAAATCCAGTGTTTCATGAAAGGACTAAGCACATTGAGATTGACTGTCACTTTGTCAGAGAAAAAATACTCTTTTTTTGATGACAAAGGAAACCTGTAGCCGCTATCCTTTGGATGCGCACAGGGTAAAACCCCCGCTCCTATGCAATAGCTCGCAAACCACATAGGAGAGGTAACCCGCACTAGGCAAGCCTGGTGCGACGAGCTCGACCCAGAAGGCAAACCCCTTGCTTTCGCTGGCAAGGGGTTTCGAACTTGAGACCTCCAACATGGAAGTCCCAAGCCCAAACCACTGGGCCACCCCGAAGGGTCAGAGAAAAGATACTCTCGGGAGATATTGTTACGAAATTTTGTGAAGTCAAATGATCAGCTTGCAGATATCTTCACCAAGTCCCTCACATGTCCTCGTATTAATTACATCTGTAACAAGCTAGGTACATATGATTTGTATGCACCAGCTTGAGGGGGAGTGTTAGAATAGAAATAAGTATTTCCTACTTAGAATAGGAATAGGAATAGGAATAGGAATAAGAATAGGAATTCTAGTTGGAAAAGGATTCCAATGTAGTGTCTATAAATAGGGTCTCAATGTAACTATTTAGATACACAATTCAATAATATATTTCTCACAAGAATATTAGACAACATTTTCCAGAAAATGTTTTCCTCAATACAAAATACACTCTTAGTGAAGTTTGAAGCTTTTGAGTAAAGTTGCAGTGTCTTAGTGCTTTGAGTATCTGCCCTGTTACTTGTTATCACAATATTCAGCAAGAGCTTTACCACTGAAATTACTATTACAGGTTTTGCTAGTGAATGGCTCCGTCTTAGATATTTAACCTTAGATATGCTAAGGAAGATGGATAAATTGGCCTTGGTTTAAATATAAATTGAAATGATAAATTAACCAATCTATGGCTTTTGTACAAATATTGCATGATACCATGTCCATATACATATGTTGAGCTAATATCATTTATGTAAAGGAGACTTACTCGTGCTTTCCATTGATTTTCTATGTCTAACTTCAAGAAAGGAATCCCTACTTTTCTGCTATGCATTTAAAGAAGTGATCTAGAGTGGTATTTTATGCGATTTTCTGCAGTGGCCTTCTCCAAGCATTTTGATTGATCTTATCCATACAAGTTTGTCTTTTCTACTGAAGGTTAAAGCTTTTCTCAGCTTAAGGTTTCCTTGATTGTCTTTATAGGGTAAGGATTTATTATTCTGAGAACCGTAGGAATTTCGATAATAGAGCTGAAGGGTTGATTTCTCGTCCTACTATTGTGTTAAGTGGAAGAAGCTATAAAGAAATGAAATCTACCTATTTAGAATGGAATTGTGCCAAGAGTCAACGCAGGACCAAATCGGTGGAGAAAATTATACTTATCAACCTTGTATAGCCGAGGGATGTAAAACCGAAAGTTAACTAGATTTCTTCTCTTTTACTTTACTGAGTTCAGTATACTCTAGATTTGATATAAACGCTCATTTGGAGCCTATTAGGTCTAACTTATTTGCTTAGTTTGCTGCCTTCATATATCAGTATAGGATCTAATATGTTTGGAGTAATCATTTCTAATAATTTACTGATCTTCAGGGCCGATGATATGGCCTTGGGACTCTCTGAACCAGATATGGAATGTTATGTCTCTACTCGGTAGCTTCAAGATTTAAGCGGACACAGACCTGTGTCTGATGCTCTCTTTACAAAGTACAGAGATGTTTCAACCAACTGTATGTCTATTCAAGTGCGAATCCACAACAGTATTGCTCAGGGTCATATGCAATACTGTTGAGTTTCTACAACTGAAATAGCATATGCATGCCAGTGAATGTCTCTCCCTTAGACATTTAACCTTATGGGGATGCTCATGTAGATAGATGAATCAGCCTTGATTTAAATGTTAATTGAAATGATAAATTAACCAATCTATAACTTCTGTAAAAGTATTGAATGATACCATGACCATACACGTTAAGCTAATTTCATTTATGTAAAGGTGACTTTCTCATGCTTTGCATTGATTTTCTATGTCCAACTTCAGGAAAGGAATCCCTTCTTTTCTGCTCTGCATTTAAAGAAGAAGTTATCTAGAGTGTGGTATTCTATGTGATTTTCTGCAGAGGGCTTCTCCAAGCATTTTGATTAATCTTATCCTTACAAGTTTGTCTTTTATGCAGAAGGTTAAATCTTTACTTAGATTAAGGTTTCCTTGATTGTCTTTGTAGGATAAGGATTTATTATGCTGAGAACTGTAGGAATTGTGATAGATATAGCAGAAGAATTGATTTAGTTTCGCCAATGACGAGGAAATCTTACTATTGTGTTAAATGGAAGAAGCTATAAAGAAATGTTATCTATCCATTTATAACGGAATTGCGCCAAGGAGGCAACACGTACCAAATCTGTGGAGATAATGCCTATTAACGTGTAGCTAAGTGATGTAAATTAAAAGTTAACTTTCTCTCTCTTACCGTACTGAGTTTAGTATATCTGTATTTGATATAAACACTCATTTGCCGCCTATTAGGTCTAACCTATTTGCTTAGCTCGCTGCCTTCACATTTCAGTTAAGATCTTTTATGTTTGGAATAATCATTTCTAATAGTTTGCTGATCTTCAGGACCGATGATTAGTCCTTGGGGCTCTCTGAACCAGATACGGAGATGCTATGTCTATGCTATACTCAGTAGCTACAAGATTAGAGCCGGCATTGCACCTGTGTCTGATAACATCTTTACAAAGTATAGTGATTTTACAGTCAACTGTATGTCTATTCAAGTGCAAATCCACGGAGCTGAACTCCTTCCTCAGGTAATATGCAATACTGTTGAGTTTCTACAATAGTATGCCCTTAAAGAAATGTATAACACGATCTAGGATGCAGAGTCTGATGTTCTTGAGATATCAAGGAAGCATAGGATGATAACAACACGGTCATTGAGTGGGCAGCCACTAAGGTGATGAAAACATTGTTTACAAGAAAGCCAACTTGTGTGTACTGCACGTGAGTAATATATTTGCAATCCTTATCAGTAAGTTTATTATATCTGCATGTCTTAATTCTATAATTTATACATGATCCAGACTCAAAGCAGTGATTTTGAATAAACCATTCCAACTAGATTTGTCTCTGAACAAGACCCAAGACTTTGTTCCCTTACCTTTTTAGACCTTTCAATATGTGGGTCTCCCTAGGTTCTTGGTGGCAACAAATTTGATTTAATCAGTTTTTCCTTTCCTGTTACGTTTTTAGAAAACAAATCTTTATTTCACATACTCGGATATTATTTCAATAGGTTATAACAGTTCTAATGTCTAACATTGCATTCAACTACATAATCTATTGCAAGACCCGCTGCAAATGTATTTATATTTCTGATACCCGAGATAGATTTACAATACCGAGTATAATTTTCTTCTTGGATTACTTTCCTATTATATCCTTAAGTTGATATAGTTGCTAGCATAAACATTACTCATCTGAGTTTCAACATAAAAACGAATAAAGTCCGAAACTGAGAGCTTCTTATTGTTATTACACCTTTACATTTCTTTTGATCTTTAGATGTTGGTGGAATACGTTCATAGCAGAAGCACACAGAAAGGGCAGAGAAGAAGTGAATCTATACAGATTACTGTAATCTAAGCAGGGCATTTATTAATATACCCTTTTTGGCAAATTCTTTTAATTGAAACTCAATTTTAAGAGGGAAAACCTGAAAATTCACGCAGTTTAGACAACCTCAGTCCTACTCACACACATTGAAATTTTTTCCTTAACAGCACAAAAGGTTGGGTTTTTGAATAACTCGTTGACAGATGTGCGCTGCCTGTGCTGTAGGCGCCCATTTTTCATACCCCTCTTTTCCTCTCTGCCTCTCTCTTACTTGTCTTTTGTATACTAGTACTGGCGTTACTTTTGAGGCCTTTTTGCACCGCCGTTTTCCCATTTTCTCTCTTGTAATTTCTTTAGGGTTTTTGCATCTTAAAACCTAGTTTCCAAATTGCAGTTCACTTCTTGTTCTTTGTGTGCTTTGAACAAAGGAAACGGTTTCCATGGCTTGTGCTTCTGTTTCTGAGGAGGAATGCATCAAAGGACTTCTTGAAGTTGGGAATGAGCTACTTCAGCAACCCCCATCTTCTAAAGAGGAGCTTCTGGAGAAACTTGATGTGAGAACCTTTTCTTTTTCTTTCCTCAATGTCATAAGCAAAAAGTACATAACCTTGTTGATTTTCATTGGGTTTTGATAACTGCAATTATTAACGTGTTCCTTGCACATAACTAGGGAAGAAAGATCAGTCAACACCATCCATCTTCAATCATGTTTATTCTGAAAGAACTTGGCCCAACTTTCCTTCTTGTGCTTCAACATAGGTTTTATCATAAATTGGGATTTCCAGTGTGACATTGCTTATTTGTTTGATCTGGCAGTCAATTATCTCGCTGTGTTTGTTTACTTCTTGTTGTTTAAAGGCAATAATCAGGCCTCCTGATGGATGAAAGAACATAAAACTGTGGAAAGAGAGAGATATGTTTGACCTTGTGATTTTGTTTAGAACTTTATCATTCTTTATTTTCTACTAGATCTCATGAATTATGATCTAGATTTCATTTGTTATCCAGAGAAGCGTTTCCAATGTATTTGACATAGTTCAATCACTTCTTTTTGGTATGCAATTTTCAGAACTTGGAGCATCTTTTGTCAATGGTGAAGCAAGTTCCCCCTGCATCAGTGCGAGATGCTATTAAGCCTGCAATGGAAGCACTGGTTACAGATGGAGTTCTACGGCATCCTGACATAGATGTGAAGGTGTCAGTTGCATCTTCCATGAGTGAGATCATTAGAATTACAGCTCCAGATCAACCATATAATGATACCAGACTTGAGGCAAGTACAACTCATACAGCCTTCTTTATTGAAATTGGAAGTCAGACTGGTTGCCAGTCTCTCTTCTAACTATGCTGTTTTGCTTTTTAATTGATGGTTCAGATTCTGTAGGTAGTTATGCATATATGATTTTCTTGGATGCATGAATAGTATTTATATGTACTCTTGGTTTGGTTTCTTGCTCAATTGGCGGACAGGACTTTTTTGAGCTTGCAGTTTTGGCATTTGGGAAATTATCTTGCTTGGAGGGTCGCTGTTATTCAAAGGCTGTCTCAATTATTGAAGTTCTTGCGAAGTACCAAACGTGCGTGCTGATGTTGGATCTCCAGTTAGATGCATTGATTGTTCAGATGTTTCAACATTTTTTAAATAGTATAAGGTATACCTCCAATTATGATATACATTCATAATTTTCCTATAGGTAAGAGGAATTGAAACCGACCACATGGTTGTTACTTTGCTGGTATTTTATCTATTATTGTTCATTTATTTCTGGTAATATGATATATGCTCTGTCCTTGCCACAAGTTTAGTTATTTGTGCACTAAGACAAGAAAATAACTGCAAACTGTCAACTTTAAAGAGCAGAACGCTCATGGATGAGAAGAGTAATTGCTTGTGACTAGTGCTATCTTGTGGTTTAGTATATTTTAGTTAGCTACTTGGCTTAGAGTTTGTCTTGGTCAATTTCTGTCTTAGAAGAACTTTTAGATAGGTGCCTCAGCAGTTGCATGTCCTTGAACGATCGCTCCAGCTGAGAACAACCAAATTCCGTGAGCCATTTTTTGAATATAAATTGTTCTATTTGATTTGACTTGGGCTTTGAAGGTGGTCAATCAATTATGCCCAATTCAGAACATGTAGAGCTAGTTAAATGGGAGTGGAAATGTGGAAAAGAACAGCAGTGATTTACAGTGTTGTTTTCCTCTTTTATGTTTTGGCGACATGAAGTAAGTGTGGTATGTTGGTATTTGTGGATCAAATGATGGATTGAGTTAAGCCCCCAGGGATGAGCTCAACAGGCACCGGTTGAGGGACTTGTCTTAGGTTACAAGTTTGAGTCCTTCCCCAAGTGAACTAAATCCAATATTTAAGTGGAGAAGGATAGAGGAGAGGGCCCATCATCCCCAAGTTCCGAAGGTTGCAGTTGGCCCAAAGGGTTGGCTCCAGACGGATTTTTCAATCTTAAATAAGATTGGTAGACTTGAAAAGTAAAAAAGGAAGGAAGTAATGGCTGAAAGACCAGGGGGAGTGGTAGAAACTTTGTCTCATTGCTGGCACTAATCAACTACTAAGTACAGTTTCAGCAGCTTCAATCATGTTGAAGAGAAGTCACTTCCAAATGAATTTACCCGCTCACCAGTTAATTAATCACCATTCTAGTCCATAATTAGTCAATATAACCTTATCCATGAAGCATGCACATTTTTGTCCGTATAAAATCTCCACAACTTACTCTAAGAGAATTGTATTATAGGTGGATAGTGGTCCAAGTCCTGCTCACTCCATTTGGGAACCATAATCTTCTTCCCCTCTCTAGTCTCTACTAGGTGAAGCTCGTATGACCGTTCTTTCCCTTCCAATAAAAATCACCAAATTGTTGAAACCCTTACAAGCATGCAAAGACAATATATTTAAAGCATGTGGGCATATTAAAGAGCGTTGATGTAAATACTGTTATCTTCCCTCCTTTGTTATCTAGTCTTCTCATCCACTATTTTTTTCTGAAATTTCTAAACAACCGGCTGCCAACTTTTAAAAATTCAATGTTTGTGACTGTTCAAATTTGGATTCTGATAAGTTGATGTTTTCTTTATCAAGCTATCTCTTTGACTATTAATTAGATAGTTTTCAGATATCACTAATTTATCACAAGTCAATTATACACCCTTAACTTGGACCAATCAAACACTGTTATAGCAAATGGTATGGAGGGAGTATATGACAGTTTTAGCAGTATATTCACTGTGGTTATTCTTATATTGAATGCAGCATAAATGAAATTATATGCTAAGGTGCATAGCATGTCAAAGTCTACCAGATTCTTTTTTCCTTCATAACATTCAAAGACTACCAGTTTCTCAATTTGCCATTTTTTTCTTCTGGGGAATGGCTGACAACTGTTTTGTCTCTTTCCCTATTTTAAGGCCGGACCACCCTGATGAAGTATTCATGAACATGAAAGAAATAATGACCATGATAATAAAAGAGAGTGATGATATTCCAATGCAGCTTCTGAACATCCTTGTGAGCATCCTCATAAGTAGTGTAAAGAAGGAAAATCAGGTATTGCTTTTCCTCTATAAGTTTATTCTTTTATCTTTCTCATTGTTTTTAATGACGTCTTATTTTGGTTTAGAATGTTTCACCTCGTTCCTATGTGCTGGGAGAGAAAGTTCTTCAAGAAAGTGCTGTCAAACTTTATCCATATCTTCAAAAAGCAGTGACGGACCTTGGCATTTCCTTTAACAACTATTCAGAAGTTGTTGAATTAATGTGGAGGGAGGCGATTAAAACTAAAGCTATGGTGGGTCTATCTGATATTCAAAGTAATTGCTGCATTTATTTAAAAAATCTATGATTGTTTAGTTGTATAATTCTATGCTTCTCCTTTTCCTGTCTAATTTACAAAGAAATGGAAGCAGATAAACATGCAATCAGCCGATCATGAAAAACTGAAGATCTAAGAATCTTAGGAAAATGAGGTGGGAAAAGAAAGAAATTTGATACTAACTATCAAAAAATAGAAGAGGAAAGAAAAATGTAATCCTTGATGTCAACAGTGACAGTTCCGATAAAGGAAATAATGACATGTTTGACCGTTCAAATAAGATGACTTGGACCCTCCTTGTTAATACGTTGAAGGCAATCTGTAGCATCAGCTGCGAGTATTTATTATGGATCATTACACAATGTGCTACAGTGCTTTTATAACTTTGATCCCATGTTCTTTGTTAAATTTAAAGCATTGTGATCCTAACTTGTCAGGTGATGTTTCTCTTAAGTTCTTTTTACTTTTCCAAACTCAGGAATGTGTACACATGTAGTTTTCCACCAACCTGTCCTCATTCTTAGACTAGCTTGAGAAAGATAAAACTTTAAGGTCCTTTACGAGATAGTCAGAAGCTCTTGTTTTGCTGATTAATTGTTGATACTTTGGTTGTTGATAATAAGTGATCTGGATTTATAGTAATGATGTTAATTCTTCCTGTGCTACACACTTGTCAGGTGGAAAGTGCTCCGGAAGAGCTTGCACCACATGCTGCGCATAAGAACGATGATGTTGTTCTAGAGACAGTTTCATCGTTAAAGGAATCAGAAGCAACCAAAGAAGCAGTAGATCCAGAAGCTACTCAAACTTCAAAGAAAAGAGGTTGGAAACCTACTTTTTTGAATAAAGCAGAGGAAGGATATGATGATGCTTGGATAAGTGGAGAAAGGAGATCAAATATAAGACGGCGGTCATCAGTTGGTGAATCAAGAGCTGAGGTAAATCAAACAGTTAGCATTAATTGACTGAACTCGTTTAGGAAGTTGTGTATTTAAGTATATCATTTATTTCTGCCCCTTAGTTCTGGACTTATTATATACATAAATTAAATTGTACGGGCATTGGGCTCTGCCTTTTCAATCACCAAAGAAATCAATTTTTCCAAAACCTCTAAAGAACAATGTAAAAGTAAGAATTCGCTATCAGAAGAAATGGTCAACATTTATTTCAGTATCATTAATTAGAGCTGGCTTATTTAATTATATTAGAAAACCTTCCATAAGTGATTACACTGACGTGAATGTCCTCATTTCGAAAGTTATGTCGACTCAAGTAAAGTATTTAAGTTACCCCTTAATTTGGACTTATTATGTACATAAATTGATCTCTGCAGGTACTGGGTTCTGTCTCAAACACCAAAGAAATCAATTTCCCCAAAGCCTGTAAAAAACAACGTAAACAACGTAAAAGGAGGAGGAAGTACTTGCCATCACATGAAGAGGTAAACATCTGTTATCATTAATTTGATCTGGCTTTCAGTAGCCTACTTTCAGTAAGTGCTTACTAAAGTGAATGAATGTAGTTGTTTTGGAATATTATGTCAATTCAAGTAAAGTGTTTGTTCTGCCCCTTATTTTTCCTCAACCCTGTTTGAAGCTCAAACTGGTTCTAAATAGTGAGTTCTTGGTTCTTGTTTTATCCTCTTAAATTAGTCATTTTCACCTTGCACGACAACCATTTTGGTCTCTAAAAGTATTCAAGTGTATCATTGTGAATGGCAAACTGCAGCAGAAGTTCAGATGAGAGAGAGAACCTAGAAAGCATGCATGGTGAATCGATAGATATCTAAAAACTTAATCTTAGTATTTATTTCATAACACCTTTCTATGCTCTAAAATTTGGCAGGGGAAAGCATCTGATGATCTGGCTCCTCCAACAACGTAAGTTATTAATATCGCATTTAGACCCCCTTTGCATAATAATGAATGTAATTCGAGCTGAACAACGTATTCTTTTTATGTTGCTGTAGGACCAAGCAGCATAATTTAACTCCAAAACGAGTGCGCCAAAATAATGAGGTCAAGGTGGATGTGCATGGCTATAAAGTAAAAGTTAGCAGTGCTCCCATATTGACTGCCATTTTTGCCAAGTATGGTGACATTGCAGTCAATTGTCACTACAAATCATTGGCTTCCAGAACTTCCCTTCTTGATCTAGTTTGTGATGTTGTAAAGAGGCTGAAAGCTGGTGATGTTGTTTCTTCATCAATCAAACAGATGAAATCTTTTGTCTCTACTGCCGTGGAAGTCGAGCTTGATGTAGCTTGGCTGCAGCAGTATCTGGATGAGATTTCAAAAGAGGAGGATATGGAGAAAAGGTTACATATGAATATCGATATCCTTCTTCATTGAATTGTGGAGCAAGACATCAATTTCTCTGTGAAATGAGTTTATTAACATTCTTTTTATCAACACATAATGTTTTTGTTGACGATCCTTTGCTCCAACAATATTAATTAGGATTCCTCAAACAATCTGATTGATATGTTTTGTGTCGGTGTGAATTAGCATACATGTAAATTGCATTGCGACACACTTAAAATCGTTTGCACTCATTCATCACTTGAAAATTTTCCTACATTTAATGTGAGTTTAATGTGCTGAATCTTTCCTTTGTCACCTGATTATGCGCAATGAACTCTAGCCTTTCTTTTGAATATTTTCGTATCATAATATTTTACAAGTTATGCAGTAAGACATTATAGTGATTAGTGACTCAGAAGGCCAAAATATATATCCAAGAGAAAGAAAACACAGACCCAAAAAAGCATTACTCTAGTTTCTAAGTACTACAACAACTTTGTGAAAATACTATATATCTTATGTTGCGTAACTTAATTTTTATATAATATATGCGAGCAAAATAAAAGTTTTAAGTTCAGATAGCTCTAAACTTTTAAGGTATGAATAAATAAGGATACTTCAAATCTTTTATTTAATGAACTGCAGGGATAAAAATTAAACATTTCAGAAATACGAAGGAAAACTAAAATAATATTCATTTGAGAACAGGATAATTTGTACAGAAACTTCATAGTTTAGCTGAATGCAATCTAAATTGACTCATAAAAAAATTTGTCTTGTTTTCTTTCAAAAGGGTGTATTTTTAATTTAATATAAACTTATATCAAGTAAAATTTATCTGTTAACTTAGGTGTAATATTATAAAAAAAAATTCACAATTTTTTATCACTGAAAATATTCAGCGTCTATTATCACAAATATTTTGATTTAATCTATAAGAGAAAAAGAACTAATAGTATTTTTATATAAAAGAAAATTGAAATTTTTCCATTATTTCAATGAGTTGATTTGAAAGGAAAAATTATATTATCAGAAATAAACCTTCCTTTTCGGATCTCGGATGCATGGGACGATAACAATATGATCATTAAGTGGGAGGGAAACTGCTAAGGAGGTGGAACACAGACCGCTATGTGGTCTTTCAACCTGTTCGTGACAACTGTTTAAATTGGTCTCTGCAAGTATTGGGCTCTGTCTCAAACATTAAAGAAATCAATTTCCCCAAGGCCTGTAAAAAACAACATAAAAGGAAGAACTGGCCATAACAAGAAGAGGTAAACATCTGTTATCACTAATTTCATCTGGCTTATAGTTAATAATATTAGACAACCTTAATTCAGAACGTGCTTACTAGAGTGAACGTACTTGTTTTGAAGTGAAGTGAAGTGAAGTGTTTGTTCTACCCCTTAGTTTTGGACTTATTATTTACATAATTTGAGTTTTGCATGCATTGTGTTCCGTTTCAATCTCCAACATGGTACCTTTGTTTGATGTTACTCTGGTAAATTTACCTAAGGGTGTCAAAAGAATATGAAAAATCATCGAACCTAATCGAATCGATTTATATTATTTTTTAAATAAAATCGTGAACTTTTATTTAAGTGTATAATAGTCCCAAACAATAGGAATGATCTTTTTAATTTATAAAAAAATCCGAAAAATTCCCGAACTGGAACGAATAATCTTACGTATATATAAATATATTTTATATATTAATAATATATTAAATTTAATATATAAATATATTTTATAATATTTTTCAAATATAAATAATATAACTTAAGTCCTAGGCCTATGGTGACTATCGACTTTAGATCTTTGCTCTTTAATTAGCATTTACTTAATTATGTTTAAAATTAAAAGAGACTATAATAGATACTTCATCAAACAATTCGACAAAATCTATACAAGCACTCCTATTAAATGTTTAAGATCAAACAATACGGCAACAAGGTTTTACATTCTTGACTTCTTGGTGAAGAATTGAAGTGCTTCTTCGAGAACATACTTGCGAAAGAAATATATTGATAATAACGTATTTTGAGGTGTTATTTTAAAAACAAAAAAACAAAATTAACTGACTTGTACTAATACCGAAGAGAAACCGATATGATATGATTTTAAAAAAAATATAATTTTGGTTATACATTATATAATATCCGATAATTAGGATGACATAATTTTTTAAAAATAAACAATCGAATCGTCTCATTGACACCCCTACTCACACCATCTATAAAAAAATTAAATAATAGGATTATCTCAATAAATTTAGTCAATATTAGTATAAACAATGCGATGTATATGATTCATCAATCGTTAATCAGATGTCTTGAATTTGATTCTTGAATTTGAAAAAACTCTTAACAGGAAATGCTTCATTCTGCGAATCCAAGCTAATCGAGAATTTAATATAAAATATCAGACATTGAGTGAAAAACACAATTAATACAATTTATTTTAAATTCCATTGAAATTGTTTTATTTAGAAGAATAATTTTTCTATAATAATAACTTCCATCGAAATTATTTTATTTAGAAAATAATAAATTATCACACTTAATATGCCATTAAAATGTGTTGATTTTTTTACCTTTCATTATTAATGACAACACCTAGTCAAATGTGTATGCAATGAAAGTAAAAGTTTTTCCAATTGGGTAATGCTAAATGATGAGAAATTTAAAAAGTCTATAAAATCTTTTTTATTTTAAAATAAATTGATTTTTTTCCTATTTTTTTAATTAAAAGGTATTAAAGTTAAAAGGGTAAATTTTTTCAAAAAAGGTAAAATAATATAGTGTGAAATATGTTATTCTACCATTATGACCAAATTTTTTGGACAAAAGGATTTTTCCTTTCCATTTTTATAGTCAAAACTATTTTTTCCAATAAAAAAAAAAAGAGAACAAAATACAAAGAAATCAAAGTTTGAGTTTTCCAATTTTAGACATTTTTAAAATAGAAAAAGACCACCATTCAAGTAATTTAAGTTCACTGTTCGAAGGACAAAACAGTCCAATAAATAAAGTGTGTCTCTTTTTCTGTGTCTTAAAAAGGTCCTTTCTTGAAACAAAAAAATTGGTGTCTTTTTGCACTTCTACAGAGCCACGTAGAGTGCAAATGCCAAATTAAGCAAACAGTACACGAGAAAAGCACAAACACCCTGAAAAAAGTTGTGAATTTCAAACTCAAAATTTGAGAAAAAAATGCAATTAACGTGAGTGGTTTATGTATGCCAATTTTGTCCCTAAATTTGCTCCCAAACACAAACCCCATTTGTATATAATCAGCATTTGTTGTGTCTGAGGTTGCATTTTCTTCCTAGGATGTTATTTATTTTTGGGGTTCTTGAAAGGGCAAATTTTTATACAAGTTTCTTGAGGTTTTGAGACTGAGAGTGAATGCTCCTTCCCAGAAAGAAATTGAAGATGGGCTAAAAGATTGTGGGAATAGCCTCATCAACTTTCCTCATTCTACTGAAGAGCTCATCAGTCTTCTTGATGTAAAGATTCATTTTTTATCTTTCTCATGTTCTTTAAATATAAAATACTAGTTTTATCTGTGTGTTTTTGTGCCCTATTATTTTAGATTGATTTTATCTTGATAACAGTAAGAACTTCTTAGGGGAAGGGTTGTTTGTTGGATAAATTTGATGCCTGGTTTTCCTTATGTATCAAGATGCATTTTTGTCTCTAAATTGAAGCCTTTTGTTCTTAATCTAGTAAATGTGTGTTTTTGCCTCTTTTTCTGCCCTAATATATTAGATTGATTTTATCTTGATAACAGTAAGAACTTCTTAGGGGAAGGGTTGTTTGTTCGATAAATTTGATGCCTGGTTTTCCTTATGTATCAAGATGCATTTTTGTCTCTAAATTGAAGCCTTTTGTTCTTAATCTAGTAAATGTGTGTTTTTGCCTCTTTTTGTGCCCTAATATATTAGATTGATTTTATCTTGATACAATAGGAACTTTTTAGGGGAAGGGTTGTTTGTTAGATAAATTTGATGCCTGATTTTCCTTATATATCAGGATGCTTTTTGCCTCCAAATAGAAACTTTTTGTTCTTAATCTAGTAAATGTGTGTTTTTGCCTCTTTTTGTGCCCTATTATATTAGATTGATTTTATCTTGATACAATAGAGAACTTTTTAGGGGAAGGGTTGTTTGTTAGATAAATTTGATGCCTGGTTTTCCTTATACTCTGAATGAATTGCTTTGTCATAAATTTCTGAATATGAATAATGCATCAGCCTCAGTTATGATGTCAATTATAGAAGTAGGTAAACATTTTGTCTATTGTAGGAACTAGATAACTCCTTTAAAGATTTGCTCTGTTTGAATCATGAAGACATACCGGCATACATTGGACCCCCAATTAACTGGACGGGGCAGAGAAGAGGGAATAGGATGGTCAACTGTAATCTTAAAGTCTCTCGCTATTTGTCCAGGTTCATTTGTTGTTGGAAGATGTCGTCGCTCTACAAGAATGTGATGGACCTTCATCCGTAGAAGCATTTCATTTTTCAGATATAAAAGTAATCATTTGAAGGACTGTTTTAAAGTACAAAATGTTTTTCTCTTAATAATACAATGAGGTTGGTCCAATTTTAAAACTGTATTAAAAAGAACATCATTTCTTAGATTCTTTTCTGCAATATTACTTTCCTATTCTAAATCTTAAACTCTATCATAAAGTTAAAAATTTAGTCAAATGCATAAAATATCAAATATTCAATAACTTAAACTGTCTCTCCCCACCTTTCCCTTTGTTTTTGTTTAACTGTTTTAGGCTGCTTGCATGTGTTTGTCAACTATACTTGTTGAGAGTTGAAATAGCAAGGATCTAGAAAGGTATAAAATAGAGATACTTCATAAGCTTCTTCGTTTGTCTCTCCTCCCTTCTTGCTACACGTCCAGGTTCATCGTTGGTGCTGCTGGAAGATGTTGTCGCTCTACAAGAATGTGATGGACCTTCATCCGTACGCTCAACCTTCAGCCTCTTAGCAGCCTGATCTGGGAATGACTTATGGGAGATTTGGATTTGTTATTATCAGGAGCTAGTTGAATTTCTTTGGCTGCAGCATCGTCACTCCTTTTAAAATGAAACCTTGCCAAGCAATGTTGATGTATAAATTTCATAGAAATAACATAATTGGATGTGTGCAATGCATGGTTCGTCAAGCAGGGTTGGGAGTTAAAACTTGTATAGTACGGATCCAATTATGTTATCTTTGAAATCTATATATCGGCATTCCTTGGCAGGGTTTTTTGTTAAAGAGAGTGAAGATGCAGCCAAAGAAACTTAACCATCTCCTGATAATAACAAATTCAAAACTCCCAGTGAACCATCCTCAGACCAGGCTGCTTAGAGGCGGAAGGTTGAGCATACGGATGAAGGTTCATCATTCTTGTAGAGCGACGACATGTTCTAGCAGCAACGATGAACCTAGACATGTAGCAAGGTAGGAGGAGAAACGAACGAAGAAGCTAATGAAGTGCCTTTGTTTTATGCCTTTCTAAATCTTTGTTATTTCAACTCTCAACAAGTATAGTTGACAAACACATGCAAGCAAACCTTAGAACAGTTTAATAGAAATAAAGGAGAGGGTGGAGAGAGATAATTTAAGCTATTGAATACTTGATATTTTGTGCATTATACTAAATTTTAAACTTTATGATGAGTTTAGAATAGGAAAGTAAATTCTGCAGAAAAAAATCTAAGAAATGATGTTCTCTTAAATATAGTTGTAAAATTGGAACAACCTTATTGTAATATCTAGTACTTTCTATAGTTCTGCAAATGGTTACTTTTATATTTAAGAATGATGTTTCTCTTTGCTACACGTCTATATTTATTGCTACTGCTGGAAGATGTCATTGCTCAGCCTCTTAGCAGCCTGATTTGGGGAGATTTGGATTTGTTATTATCAGGAGCTAGTTGAGGATCTTTGGTTGCAACATCGTCACTCCCGTTAACAAGAAACCTTGCAATGCCGATATACAGATTTCAGAGAGTTAACATAATTGGATGTGTGCAATACAAGGTTCGTCAAGCTGATAGCTTTTAGAGATCTTTTCGTCGCGTGCCTTATTTACTGACAAACAAGCTTCCCTTTTCAGAATGTGGTTGGGAGTTACTCTTTTCTTTTGCTTTTTATTGAAAAAAACAATAGGCATGAGTAGTTAATACTTCATTTTCAAGTTATTTACAGTTCCTTTCTAGCATTTTTGTTGATAAGGGATTTCTTTATGTGGTAAATTTGAAAACAACTAAAAGTCAAGCACCGATGTATGTGAACAATAAATCAACAAAATAGTTTTATTTTGTACTGAAGTTCTTTTTTTTTTTTCCGTTTTGAAGTATTAATGAACTTTTGAAATAAAACCCAGTAAAAGAAGAATGTCCATGCAATTTTGGTGGGCGTTTGATATGTTTGCTGATTGTATTCCATGTTAATTGTACAATGGTTCAAATTTCAGTAAATTTTTCTAATGCATCAGCAGACTACTGGGACACTTCACGTAATGCAAAAACAAAGTCATTAAAAGTACTATGTTTTCTTCTGAGCTTTGGGATAAGATACTATGTCACATTTTAAATTTCATAAAGTTTATGTTATACTTCAAAGCTATTTCTTTCTCAATTATCGATGTGAAACAATATTAGTGATTGATAAGTATTTTACATAAATTGTGAATGTGCAGGCGCCTTGGTTGCATTATTGATTCATCTCGTCATATAAGGAAAAAGAAGAAGGTGAGAGTACTTGCTCTTATTAAAGTTTTCCTTACGAAGTCATGTCTATGAAGTGTTTGATTAAATGTTTCTTAAGGTTAATGTGAGTTTAATTGGAACGAGTAAGCTCCCATTTACTTATCGTGAGTCTGTCCACGTGACCAAGCCATAATGTCCCACTTCTCTAGACTAATGTGATTCTTGATTTTGGATACGGCAAAGCTCTTCAGTAGTGTTCCTTGAAAACCACATATATCAGCTCCAACCATTGGAGTTCTAAACAATCCAAAGTTTAAGATAGAAGGAATGGGATATGCCAAATCGTTCCAGGTAGCACCATTGTCTCCAGTGTGACGTGTATTTGCCAGAGTCAAGAAAAGTTAGGCTTGCAAGAATAAATGGCCTTTTTCCAGTGCTGTCATCTAGCTAAATGTTAAATAGTGCTTCAGTGATTTTAAATTTCAAAGTGTTTTAATATAACTGTACAAAATGTGTAGCTGCTATGATTATGATAAAGTTAAAATGTTGAAACCTTAATGCGAACTCTGATAAATGGTAACCATATAAAGGGTTACTAATCTTGTTTTAACGAGGCATATCATAAATGGTAACTGTACAAAGAGTTACTAATTACCAGAGCTGGGCGTAATTAATAAACGTTCAATTGACTGAAACAACTCAAAAAAAATGAAAAGAATGAACTAAGCTATAAGTTTTAGGTGATTGTTTCCTGCCTCATGGTTGTATAATACTTTAGAATGAATTGTGGCGTGTTTCCTCTCTTATCCCTTCATTACCCTCATTTTTTTATTCGAGGTCTCCTAGCGACTTTAGTGAGGAGAATGTTGAGACTCACTGAGTACCATTAGTCGTGTACTGACATTCTCTTTGTGAAACCTACATTGACCTAATGTAGATGCAGGTGTCATAGACGAGCAGATTACGAAATAGGTTGCTTTATTCTAGAAGTTTATTTGGTGAGCTCTGTCATTGACCGTGGAGCTTCTTCTCTTTCAGTTAGACAATTTTATTCATTTATCCGGTATTTGTTTTGGAGATTAGCCAGGAAATCTCTGTCTTGTGCTTTCCTCTTAGCACTCCAGTATAGACATATTTTTAGTTGGGTTATGGTTGATCACTTTACTTCGGATTATTTTAAGTACATTTTAGTATTTATAGATTTCAATTTTTATTTGAATTATTTTAAGAACTGTTGAATTGAAGGTTCTAACAAAGAGATTAGTTATTTATTTTTATATGCATGTGGGGCATGTGATATGAACGTACAAGTTAGAATAGTCAAGCCGGTTCGCTGGGTCAAGTAAGGCACTGGTGCCGGTCACGGCTTTGTTTAGAGAACGGGTTGTGACAAGTGCTACCTTTGTATGGCAGCAAAGAGATGTAAAAGAATGCCCAAATTTTCACACTTGCTCTGTCCTCACACCATGGCTGCTCCATTTGTAGGTGAGCTGTGATCTGTGGCTGTCAAATGCACTAGTATTTTCCTATCTGATTAGACTCTTCTGATTAAAATTATTATCGCTCTTTTTGTAGTTTGTTTTTCAGGGTTTGGCTGGGGTTGTTAACAGGCCCCCATTTTGTAGTTTTCTTTATGCTGCAGCATTAGTAAAGTGGTTTATCTTTATTCTTTGAGTTCAAGAGAGCCGATGCTAAATAAACCAGCAAGAGAGTTCACATTGCTACTGAATATGTTGATTGTTCTTATGGCAAATTTTATGAAAAAGAAGCAGAAAAGTTTATATATGTAATGACGAGAGAGAGGCAGAATAAGTTCACATCTTCTACTGAATCTTTGCGCATGTAACACAAACCAACTCTAGTAATCTTTCTCTTCCATCTGGATCACTCCCCTCGTAATTAGCCAAGGGGTGGGTCCATACCACCAATATATGCGTGAAAAAAGAAAGTTTAGTGGTGAATTTGTGGATTAAATCCAACTTTGATATGATAATTTCGATTCAGTTCAATAATTCGCACCAAAATTGATTTTGGCAAACAAATTCATAAATTGCACCCAGAATGAAAAGACCTTGTCAATGCACTACTAAAATCTTAAATTAACTTACTAATAAGATGAGAAATCTCTACTAACCTTTACTAAACAAACATGACGTGTATTTATTTCCAAGTTTTTTTTTTTTTTAACGCGTGGTAGTTTTTTCCATATAAAACACCGCTTCCGAGAGTCGTCCTCATCAATTTATCTTCCTATCAGTTCTCTCTCTCTCTCCTAATGAATATCTAGTGCATCAATGCATTGCTAGGGTTGAAGATACCAACAAGTGATTCAATATGGCGGCAGTTGCGAATAAACATATTCATGTCTCCTTATGAATATTTCTTGAAATTTAAAGAACATGAATATGTTTGTTCGCAACTGCGTCAATTCATTCTTAGGGTTCCGTATCAGTATCAGTATGGGTAGGGTCTAAAGAGTTGAATAATTGCATGTTGGCATCATGAAATTTAAAGGTAACTGAGGATTTCCAATTGATACATACAGCTTCCAGTGGGCGGTATTTTGGTCTGTGATCTATTAGTCTGTTTCTGAATAAAGATCACGGTCTTTGACTTTGAAAACTTGTAATACGTCACAAATACTCTCTGCCTCTGCCTGAAACTGTTCTTTGTATGATCAAGAAAATCAAGAAAACTGTTAGGTCTCTGACTTGTGAGGAATCATTAATTTGGGTAAACTATGCTATGCACATTTCCTACAGTACAAAAAATTACTGAAATTTTTTAGGGGAACAACTTAAATTGGACAACTCTCATCCAGTACTTCGGGGATATGGTGCTATTATGTGACTGGTTCTCTCGTATTATCACATCAAAGTTCATGCTTCCTCTTAGGTTTGTATATGTGCTTTAGTGGCCTTTAACTACTATCCTTCAATAACCAAACCTGTTGTCTTGGATTTGATCATTAGACATCTCAAAAACTCTTCCCGGCCCCTCTAATAATGAACGTGTTGCTGGGAAACATTTTCTGTCTGGTTCTTGTTTGATAGTTATGCCTAGAGCTCCCTCCAGCATATATATATATTCTTAAGATTATATTTGTTAGTCTGAACGTTAAAACATTTGAGGTTTCTGCACCTAGTGAAGTTCAAACCTTTTGAGTAAAGGTGCAGTGTCTGAGTGCTTTGAGTATCTGCCCTGTTACTTGTTATCACAATGTTCAGTAAGAACTTTACTGCTGAAATTACCATTGCAGGATTTGCCAGTGCATGGCTACGTCTTAGATATTTAACCTTAGACATGCTGAGGAAGATGGATAAATTGGCCTTCTCCAAGCATTTTGATTGATCTTATCCATACAAGTTTGTCTTTTGTACAGAAGATTAAAGCTTTCCTCAGCTTATGGTTTCCTTGATTGTCTTTGTATGTTAAGGATTTAATATGCTGAAAACTGTAGGAATTGTGATTAATAACAGAAGAGTTGATTTAGTTATAACAATGATGAGAAAAAAGTCTTACTATTGTGTTAAATGGAAGAAGCTATAAAGAAATGATGTCTATCTATTTAGAACGGAATTGCGCTAAGGATGCAACGCCGGACCAAATCTGTGGAGATGATTATGCTTATCGACCTTGTATAGCTGGGAGATGTAAAATTAAAAGCTAACTAGCTTTTTTCTCTCTTACCTTTCTTAGTTCAGTATATTCTAAATTTGATATAAACACTCATTTGCCACCTTTAGGTCTAAACTATTTGTTTAGCTCGCTGCCTTTTCATATTTCTGTATAGGATCATATACGTTTGGACTGATCATTTCTAATAATTTACTGATCTTCAGGGACGGTGATATGGCATAGGGACTCTCTGAACCAGATACGGAATGCTATGACTATACTCAGTAGCTACAAGATTAAAGCCGGCACTGCATCTGTGTCTGATGCCATCTCTACAAACTACAGTGATTTTACAGCCAACTGTACGTCTATTCAAGTGCAAATCCACAAGAGCTTAATTCCTTGCTCAAGGTCATATGCAATACTGTTGAGTTGCTACAATAGTATGACCTTAAAGCCCAGTATAACACGATCTCAGATGCAGAGTCTGTCAATCTTGAGATAAGCATGGGATGATACAACATAATCATTATGTGGGCAACCACTAAGGAGATGGAACACAGGCAACACAAGCCGTGATGTGGTCTTTCCACCTGTTCGTGAAAACTGTTTACAAGAAAGGCAACTTATGTGTATATGCACGTGAGTAATATATTTGCTATCTTTATCAGTTAGTTTATTATATATGCATGTCCATGTAAAAAATATTTTTGTAGATTTATACATGCTTCAAATTCAAAGTAATGGTTTTGGCTAAACCCACCTAAATAAATTTGTCTATGAACAGGAGCCGAGGCTCTGTTCCTTGACCTTTTTATACCTTTTAATACGGGGACCCTCTCAGTTGTAGGTAGCGACAGAATTGTTTTACTCAGTTCCTCCTTTCATATTCACTTTTTAGAATAAAATCTTTTATTCACATACGCAGATTTCAATTCAATGGGCTGTAACAGTTCTGATGACATTCCACTACTCTATTTCAAAAGACCCGATGCAAATATATTTGGGTATTTTGATACCCAGAGATAGTACAAAGTCTAGTTTTCTTCTTTGATAACATTTCCTATTAGAAATCTTGAAGTTTAGGGAGAATTAGTTTCGTAAGTCACTTATAAATTATTTTAGTTTTATTGTCTTTCTATAGAAATCTTCATTTTTACACATAAGAGATATGAAAAGGTCATTTTCTTCTATTCAATTTGTAGCCAAGAGATCTCATTTTTTCTATAAAAAAAGGTTGATATAGTTACTACCATAAACATTACTCTTCCCAGTTTCAAAATAAAATTGAATGGTCTAAGACTGATAGCTTCCTATTGTTATCATCGTCTTTATATTTCTTTTGACCTTTGGGTGTGGCTGTATTCATTCATAGCAGAAGTGTCCAAGAAATATAGGGAGGAAAGATTAAATGAAACAACAAAAAGGTCAAAGAAGAAGTTAATCTGTTCAGATTACTGTAATATTTTATCAAAAAAAAAAATTATCAAAAAGATTACTGTAATCTAAGCAGAACATTTATAAGTAAAACCTTGGAAGCGAATTCCTTTTATTGAAACCCAATTTTAAGAGGGCAAACCTGAAAATTACACAGTTAAGATGACCTCAATTATACTCACACTTTGAAAAAAAATTCGTTACTGCCCAAAGAGTTATGCCTCAAATTTTCATATAATCCCTCTTTTCTCTCTTGTCCTTTTGTACAAGTACTTTTGGGATTTTGAAATTTAAAGCCTGGTTTCAAAGTTGCAGTGCTCTTCTTTGTGTGCTGTGATAAAAGGAAATGGTTTCCCTGTCTCGTGCATCTGTTTCTGAGGAGGAACACAACAAAAGCCTTCTTGAAGTTGGGAATGAGTTGCTTCAGCACCCCCATCTTCTAAAGAGGAGCTTCTCGAGAAACTTGATGTGAGAGCCTTTTCTTTTCTCTTTCTATCTGCTTAAACCTACGAAGTGAAAAGTACATAGCAACCAAGGGGGCTCAATTTTATCTATGAGATTCTGAAAAGCTATAATTGACTTCCTAAAATAGTTGAAATTTATTTCTAGTTCTGGTCAACAATTGTTAGTTAATCCTAGGATAAAATGATCACCTTATTTGGAAAATTTTAGTAGTTTAGTTGGTTTACTGCCTAATTTTTCACCTTAGAAGTGAGGTTTTGATTCCCATCTTGTAAAAAATGATCCTTTTTTTGTATATAATGTAGAATGATCTTGGTTTGCATCTGGTGAAATTCCTATAAGCAGTTCTAGTGAAAGATCATCTCTTATAAGAGGTCTATTTCTTTTTAAGGACATTCTAGTAATTAAAAGATCTGTGTATGATTGCATCACTTGTGATATCTACTATCATCAACATGTTCCCTGCACATAACTAGGGAAGAAGGATCAGTCAACACGATCAATCCCTATCATGTTTATTCTGAAGGAACTTGGACTAGCTTTCCTTCTTGTGCTTCAACTTAAGTTTATCATACATTAGGATTTCCTTGTGCCATTGCTTATTTACTGGTCCTGGAAGTCAATTATCTATGTCTCCGTTTACTTTTTGCTGTGTAAAGGACATAATCAGGCTTCGTGATGGATGAAAGGAAATAAAACTGTGGAGAGAAAGAGAGAGATGTTTAACTTTTGAAACTTATGGTTTAAAATAAGTCAGATATTTGTAAACCCATTTTGAAGTGGCCAAATATATGAACTGATTACTCATGATTTGAGAAAATGCTCCCAGGCACGATACCCCAAATATTTTCTCTCTCCTAACGGAGGAGGGCAGAACCCCCTCCGGCGAACTTCTGTCACCGGAATCCTCCCTCATCTTCTCTCTTCTGTTCTCTTTTCTTCCATTCCCAACCACTCCTTCCCTCATACTACTAGTTAATGGAGGAAGATATGATCTTCTTCGCAATGGGTTTCAAGTCTTTTGATGTAGCAAGAGATGTATCTCGAGCAGAGACATGGTACGACTGGACTGAGAGAGGAAGAAACATGATGAGCAGAACAAGCTTTAGTAAAAAAACGATGGATGGAATGGGTTTCAAGTCTTTTGATGTAGCAAGAGATGTATCTCGAGCAGAGACATGGTACGACTGGACTGAGAGAGGAAGAAACATGATGAGCAGAACAAGCTTTAGTAAAAAAACGATGGATGGAATGGGTTTCAAGTCTTTTGATGTAGCAAGAGATGTATCTCGAGCAGAGACATGGTATGACTGGACTGAGAGAGGAAGAAGAATGATGAGCAAAGCAAGCTTTAGTCAAAAAACGATGGAATGGATTTGTTCGATTCTCAAGGAAGCGTCAAAGGTGAAAGGAAACGTAGTCAGAAGATGGAAAAGGCAGGAGCATGTGTCAAATGTATTTTGTGCAAGGAACTTTAACAACAAAGGGAGATATATAAGCATTATCAACATACAAGGAAAGAACAGAGCTGTAATAATAATTCCTGAAATCACATTCAATGCTGGTTGGTGGGACTTGGCCACCAAAATTGAAAAATTCATTAATGACAAAGCTTTTAAGACACCTAGTAAGAATTACAAGATGTTTGATAAAGAGATATCATATGCAGAAACTATCAGGAGGAGCAAATGGTCTTCTAGAGAGATCGAGACAGCCATCATAGAGGAGGAAGGAAACACCATCATTATTGACGGAGAACCCGACCAAAATCAAAATGAACTCTTAGGGAGAAGTCTCGTTGGCAGATTTCCAGAAAATGGAACTGAGAACCCAACCCTGTCGGAAGTTCGTAGATGGGTGAGCAAAAACTGGACCCAAACTCATGGCATCAACATCTACGAGATGGGACACAATCACTTCCTTTTTGAATTCTCTTCCATCACTGTTGCTGAGCATATTCTCAGAGGAAGATGGCTATGGATGAACCAGAGCATACGGCTACAATGGTGGACGCCGACTGTGGGTGCAACTCAATCAAGAACTAAAATCAATCATTCTTGGATCAGATTGGTGGGCCTCCCTCTACATCTGTGGTCACAAAATGTGTTCAAAGCAGTAGGAGATTTTTGTGGGGGTTGGGTGAAAACAGAGGAGGAGACGGAACTACGCAACCACCTCAAATGGGCAAGAATTCTTGTCAAAAACAACGAAAAGCCCATTCCGAAGGAGGTGAAGGTAGCTTTCGGGGGGCATGGCTTTGATAGGCGATGACTGGTTTCTGCAGTATCACACTAGCAACAAGATAGGTCTAGAATTGCCATTTTGCATTTCCATTTGTTTCTTTGTTTCGGTGAATTTGGATCTTTTTGCTCTAGAATCATGTCCTGGTGGTGACTGTATTGCTCTAGGAGCAGTTGTGAATAAGCTTTTCTGGTCATTTTTTTTTTCTGTTTCATGAATTTCGTTCTTTGTGCTCCATATACATGGCAGTATCTGATCTAGGATTTGGAGGCTATGGGTTCTAAGTTGGAGCGTTCGTGTATTTCCAAAAAGGGAACCCTATGTACGTTACCTTGAAAAAGAAAAGATTATAGAACCATATGTAAAAGAACAAAAAGAAATGTAGACTGTGGGACTCTAACTCATGTCTAATAACTTAATATCATTCGCATAGGACTTTCACGACTAAACAGAAATGCTTATCGTTGCTGGTTCACATTTCAAACTTTGATAATTTGTCAGCTTTTAGTAGGCTTTACAATATTTATACACAGCCCATACTAGAACCAGTGGGTTTGGTGAAACCTAGTCCTATTGAACTGGGTTCACCACTGAAATGTAGTCTGATTGGCGAATGTTTTTCGATAGAAATATTGTGTAATTTTCCCATCTTTACTGAACATTTTGTCTTTCTTTATATGTGGTTGTTTACCCTGAATTTATTGTCTGATTGGCGACTATGTTGCCACAGGAGCACGAATTACTTGTAGATTCACATTATAACATTGTTTTTGGAGTAGTCCCATTTCAATTTTGTGCTATTTGTGAGTTCTGCAGCTTGGGTTGGCCAAGGATTCTTGCAGAGCAATAATAAAAATGATATCGTGAGTTAGGTGATTCTTTCCTATCTGCCTAAGTCTTGGTAGGTAGAGTTACTCGGTATATGTGCTGGTGAGTGGTGAGAGATGGTAGGTGGAGTAGTTGAGGTGAAGGCAAGATAACTGACACAACCATTATAAAAAGAATATCATCATGAGTTGAGCTGAATGCATGGTTGGCTAGTTAAGTTATCTGCTATTAGGATGTGCTGTGGGCGGGATGATACCAACATAAAGAATCATCTAAATATTAATTCCATACAAGCTAAGGTAGGCTATGAAAATCCTCTATGTCAATTCTGTTCTATTTGGCCCCTTTTCATTCCAATACCTCAAAATAATTGATTCATGTAGCCGACCCTAGCTTGTGTGGGACTAAGGCATAGAAGCAGTTGTTATTGTTAGGAAAACTACAGAAATTTCAAAATTGAAGGTTCTCTAAATCTACATTGACATAAGAATTTCCTTGAACTAGAAGGAGTCTAAGCTAGTTATATCACTTATATAAGACATATTCTTTCATTATATTTTATTTCTAGCTAACAAGCATTGGTTCCATGAAACTTACTATTATGGACATAATTTCGTTTACGTGATTTAGGTCTACACATGTCTTATTAGTACCGTCAGTTATCAACCTGAGTAATCTGGATAAAACTGCATCCTTTCTGTTGTTAGAAGATAAAATTGTACACTTCTGTCCATTGTAACCCTAAGAGGACGGTCTCATGCTGACCATTAACTTTGAGCATTAATTCTTGTTCCTATTAAGTTTGTCTTTGGATGCGTCAGATTTTCTGGTTGTTAGTGTTTTGTGATCATTGTCCAATCTCTTCCTTACAATTGCTTATTGTTTTTGTAATGTAATTGTTAGCCTAATCACTTTTGTCAATTTTGCAGGTACAATTCTATTTCTTTGGTAATGAATAGACCCAAAGGATACTAACTGCTGCTTTAACCTCAAAGTCAGCATCTATTACATGAAAAAGGGCATACAGGTCAACAATGAAGCGTTTTGTTTATATTGATGATGATGATTTGTCAAACAATATTTACTGTGACAACCGGATCTCAAACAGAAAATATACTGTATGGAATTTTCTTCCAAAGAACTTGTGGGAACAATTCAGGTAACTTTCTTAATTTGTTACATAGAAGTTCTGCATTCTATATTAGATTGAACTTGCAGCTTTGAGATATTTCCATTTTGGTTTTGTCACGAATGTTTTGCTATCAATAACGATTAGGCTATCACAAAATTCATTTTATCCTCAGTACACAAAACACAATTTCTTGAGGGCGGACATAAATTCTCTTATTTTACTTTTCTGCTTTACTTTTCCGTTTTGGATAAAGGGCCCTGGCTAATGTAGAAAATTTAGAGGCAACATACTAAGTTGAGATGGATAGAACAAGATGATGAGGGGCTTCTCATCGGGGAGAAGAGGGATGGGAGAGTCTGATATAGAGGGAGATGATGGTCTCATAAGAGATGGGGGGCTAGGAGTAACTTTACTTTCAATTGGCACTCTTGGGGTAGTTGTTGTGTATATTCATCCTAGAGGAAAATTACATTATGGAGAAGTATAAAACTGTGAAACTTGGAGTAGCGAAGACTAGATGTTCCATGTGTGTATGAAAGGGGATCATGAGGGAAACAAGTTCTTAAAGCATATTGATTGCACGTAGAGGCGTATGCAGGAGGGGGTCCCCAGGTTCACGTGAACCCATGCTCCCCTCCCGAAATCATATATAGTAGTGTTATATATTTTAATTTTTTGTTAAATATAAATGTGTGAACCCATACTTGAAGTATCATATAATGCGACGATGATTGGGTGCACCTCTCAGTGAGGTTAGGAATTTGACTTTTATATCTATCTTGTTTTATTTTTCTTTCTAAAATTTGGTAACATCTCTCTAAGTGGTTATTGATAGCACTTTTTGTCGTTTTAATTTATTAAGCATTTCAATTTTGGAACTATAATTTAAAATTTTAACCGGTTTAAATGATAAGAACATAAATGTCAAACCGATTAGATCCACATTTTCATAATAGTGTACTCATCCCAAAATCCTGGATACACCTCTGGACTCATTCACTTGCACGGTGGAAAAGGGCAATTGTTAGTTTTGGAATGATGTGTGATGTGAAGGAACTATCTTACAGGAGGCAACACCTTGGGCATCAGGGGTGGAAAGCTATAAGAAAGTTTTGGCGTTTGATTATTTGATGAGGATAGTGGGGATTGTATATAATTTATATGACGCACTAATTTACTACTAAAACTTATCACTAATTTGAAGATCCTTATATACTTTGCATCCCTTAAGTTCTAGGTAGAGAGACCAACTTGAGTTTGTTTATTTTAGCAACAAAGAAAAAAAATAAACGATCACTGAGTTATCGTTGGTAAACTTGCCGCAGAAAAGTCTGTCGATGAAATCTTATTATCATGTTGGAATGTTGTGCAATAACAATGGTCGGAGTAGTGGTCCGGAAGAAGTGGTGCTGTGAGAATGATGGAAATAAGGCGTATTGTCGATGGAATGGTCATTGCCAAAGAGGTGGTATAGCCAATTGGGTCACCATAAATAAGCTTGCTGCTGCAAGAATAGTCAATGGAAAGAGATGTAGTGCTGCCGGAATGATCACCATGAATAGCTACAAAAAAAAGAAGAAAGTATAATATAAATGAAAATAAAGACAAACTTTGCAACAGTTGGAGGTGGATGGAGCTATCATCAAGGACCCTGATACTATTAAGGAGGCAGTGCAGAAATTTTATGAAGGCCTTTATAAGGAGACTGAGCAGTGGAGTCTTGGTTTGAGACTTCATGATGTATCTAGGATTACTGAAGAAGAACAAATATGGCTTTAGAGGTCTTAGAAGGAAGAAGGAATAATGTAATGCCTCAACCAGTGTGTTATGGAGAAGGCATCATTAACACCATTCAGGTTTTCCATTCCAATCAAACTTTCGAGAAGAGTTTTAATGCAACTTTCATTGCCTTGATTCCTAAGAAACCAGGAGCCTCTAGTTGCACATCAAGCAGTTCTGACTCAGGACAACCTTATGAAAAGGGGAAGGCAGTTATGCTCCAGATGTTTTTTTTGTGAAGCTGAAACAGAGACAGTAAACCATCTTTTTTTACACTGTAAAGTGACTGAAAAATTATGGCAATGGTTCATTAATCTCAGGGGTATTAGATGGGCCATGCCAAGACATACTGTAGAAGCTCTAGCATGTTGGAATAGGGATGGAAATCAATCAGGACACAAGGAGAGATGGAAGATTGTCCCTGCATGCATCTGGTGGACAATTTGGAAGGAGAGAAATCAGAGATGTTTTGAGAACAAGAGCATTTCCTTCCAAAGTATGAAGATGAACTGTCTAGCAACATTCTACTTTTGGTGTATTCAATCTGTACCTAAGGATATAGGGGACATCACTCTGTTTTTAGATAGTCTATAATGGATATAGGTGATAGATTTGTTTTGGATGTTCCTTCATATTTTTGATGTAACTACTTAGGAGCACACTATTGGTGTACTTCCTTCTGTTTATAATACCAGTTAACTTTCTCAAAAAAAAGAAAGAGAGAGATGTTTGACCTTGTGATGCAGTTTTGAACTTTATTCTTTATTTTCTACAAGATATTCTGATCTAGACTTCATGTGTTATCTAGAGAAGTGTTTCCGATGTATTTGACATGGTTCAATCACTTCTTTTTGGTATATGCAATTTTCAGAAGTTAGGGCATCTTTTGTCACTGGTGAAGCAAATCCCCTCCGTATCGACGCGAGATGCTTTTCGGCCTGCAATGGAAGCACTAGTTGCAGATGGACTTCTACGACATTCTGACATGGATGTGAAGGTGTCAGTTGCATCTTGCATCAGTGAGATCATGAGAATTACAGCTCCAGATCAACCATATAATGATAGCATACTTGAGGCAAGTACAACTCATACAGTTTTCTTTGCCCAAACTGGAAGTCAGACTGGTTGCGAGTCTTTCTTCTAACGAAGCTGTTTTGCTATGTAATTGATAGTTCAGATTCTGTAGTATTTATGCATCTATGATTTTCTTGTATACATGAATAGCATTTATACATGCTCATAGTTTGGTTTCTTGCTCAATTGGTGGACAGGACTTTTTTGAGCTTGCAGTGTTGGCGTTTGGGAAATTGTCTTGCTTGGATGGTCGCTGTTATTCAAAGGCTGTCTCAATTATTGAAGTTCTGGCAAAGTACCGAACATGCGTGCTCATGTTGGATCTCATGTTAGATGCATTGATTGTTCAGATGTTTCAACATTTTCTGAATGGTATAAGGTATATTTCCAATTATGCTATACATATTCATAATTTTCCTAAAGGAAAGAGGAATTGAACCCGACCACATGGGTGTAACTTTGCTGGTATTTTATCTTTTATTGTTCATTTGTTTCTAGTAATATAATGTATGCTCTGCCCTTGCCACAAGTTAAAGTATTACATTTCCCTTTTTCTCAGTTTCATTTACTTATTTGTGCATTGGGACATGTAAAGAACTAAACTACGAACTGTCAACCTTAAAGAGCAGAATGCGCATGAATGAGATGAGTAATTGCTTGTGACTAGTGCTTAGAGTTTTGTCTCGGCCAATTTCTGTTTTAGGAGTACTTTTATATGGGTGCCTCAGCAGTTTCATGTCCTTGAACAATTGCTCCAGCTGAGAGCAAGAAATTCAGTGAGATCTTTTTTGAATATAAATTGTTCTAGTTTTAATTGGCTTGGGGTTTGAAGGTGATCAATTGATTATACCCAATTCAGAACATGTAGAGTTAGTTAAATGGGAGTGGAAACGTGGAAAAGAACAACGGTGATTTACAGTGTTGCTTTTCTTCTTTTCTGGTTTGGCAACATGAAGTAAGTTGGGATGTTGGTATTTGTGGATACAATGATTGGTTGACTAAAACCTCCAGGGATTAGAACAATAGGAACCGGTTGAGGGATTTGTGTCTTAGGCCACACGTTTGAGTCCTGCCCCAAGCAAACTAAATCTAGTATTTAAGTAGAGAAGGGTAGAGGAGAGGGCCCATCATTCCTGAGTTCTGAAGGCTAAATGTTGGTATTTGTAGATACAATGATTGGTTTGACTTAAGCCTCCAGGGATTAGCTCAAACCGGTTGAGGGATTTGTGTCTTAGGTCACACGATTGAGTCCTGCCCCAAGCGAACTAAATCTAGTATCTAAGTAGAGAAGGATAGAGGAGAGGGCCCATCATCCCCGAGTTCCGAGGTTGCTGTTAGCCCAAAGAGTTGGTTCCAAATGAATATCTCGATCATTGGTATACTTGAAAAGTTAAAATGAAAGGAAGCAAAGGCTGAAAGACCAGAAGGAATGATAGAAACTGTCTCATTGCTGGCACCAACTAATCAGTAGGTACAGTTTCAGCAGCTTCAGCCTCATGATGAAGAGAAGTCACTTCCGAATGAATTTACCCTGCTCACCAGAAAACTAATCCATATTAACCATGAAGCCTGCACATTTTTGTCCGTAGAATATCTCCACAACTTACTCTGAAAGCATTGTATATTGGTGGATAGTGTCCTAATTCCTGCTCACTCCATTTGGGAACCATAATCTTCTTCCCTTCTCTAGTCTCTACTAGGTGAAGTTCGTATTTCCCTTGTTTTCACTTACAATAAAAACTCTCCAAATTGTTGAAACACTTCCAAGCATGCAAAGATGATAGATTTAAAACATTTGGGTATATTAAAGAGAGTTTATATAAATACTGTTATCTTCCCTCCCTTGGTATATAGTCTTCTTGTCCACTATTTTTTTCTGAAATTTCTCAACAACCGGCTGCTAAATAAGATATTCTTCTATGCAACTTTACAACTCTTAAATATTCTATATTTATGACTATTCAGATTTGAAATCTGATAAGTATGATATTTTATTTATCAAACTATCACTCTTTGACTCTTAATTAGATATTATTTGACTATCACTAATTAATCACAAATCAATTATACATCCTTAACTTATACTAATCAAACACTGCTATAGCAAATGGGATGGAGGGAGTATATGACAGTTTTAGCAGTATATTCACCGTTGTACCTTCATATGTTGAATGCAGCATAAATGAACTTATATGGTAAGGTACATAGCATGTCAAAATCTACCCGGATTCTTTTTTCCTTCATAAAGTTCAAAGACTACCAGTTTCTCAGTATGCCAATTTTTTCTTCTGGAGAATGGCTGACAATTGTTTTGTCTCTTCCCCTATTTTAAGGCCGGACCACCCTGATAAAGTATTCACGGACATCAAGGAAATAATGACCGTGATAATAAAAGAGAGTGAAAACATTCCAATGCAGTTTCTGAGCATCCTTGTGAACATCCTCATAAATACTGTTAAGAAGGAAAATCAGGTATTGCTTTTCCTCTACAACTTTATTCATCTATCTTTCTCATTGTTTTTAATTACGTCTTATTTTGGTTTAGAATGTTTCGCCTCGTTCCTATGTGCTGGGAGAGAAAGTTCTTCAAGAAAGTGCTGTCAAACTTCATCCATATCTTCCAAAAGCAGTGACGGCCCTCAACATTTCCTTTAAAAACTATTCCGAAGTTGTTGAATTGACATGGAGAGAGGCAATGAAATGTAAAGCTACGGTGGGTCTATCTGATAATTCAAATTAATGCTGCATTTATTTGTAAAATACATGATTGTTTAGTTGTATAATTCTCGCGTCTGCTTTTCCTGTCTGATTTACAATGAAATGGAAGCTGATAAACATGCAATGCTCATTTTGTGATAGACCATCTTTGCTATGACTTTCAAGTTCTGTATTCTGTCAACTTATCCTCTTTTCTTGGTTATGATCGAATACATCACAGGTGGAAAATGCTCCCGAAGAGCTTGCAGCGCATGCTGCACCGGAGAGAGTTGTTCCGTTCTTAGATCAACCACCTAACTTGCTAGGGAAAGATGATCACAAGCATAAGGACGGTGATGTCGTTCTAGAGACGGATACAACTTTAAAGGAATCAGAACGTGAAAATGCAATGAAGCAGCAGAAAAGTACCAATTCAAGGACCACGTCGCGACCTGAAAACTTGGGTTTCACAAATACAGTCGAAAAGGCTCTATATCCAGAAGCTACTCAAACTTCAAAGAAAAGAGGTTGGAAACCTAGTTTTTTGAATAAACTAGACGAAGGATATGATGATGCTTGGATAAGTGGAGAAAGGAGATCAAAAGCCCATATTCTCTCTAAGGGTTGTGGGAAAGATGCTAAAAAGAGGAGAAGCAGTTCACCTAAATGTGCAATCTCCAATGGTGAATCAGGAGCTGAGGTAAATCAAACAGTTATCATTAATTGACTTAACTCTTATAGGAAGTTGTGTATTTAAGTATAGCATTTATTTCTGCCACTTAGTTCTGGACTTATTATATACAAATTAAATTGTGCGGGCATTGGGCTGCCTTTTCAATCACCAAAGAAATCAATTTTGCTAAGGCCTCTAATGAACAATATTCGCCATCAGAAGAAATGGTCAACATTTATTGCCGTATCATTTATTAGAGCTGGCTTATTTAATTATATTAGACAACCTTCAAGTGATTACGCTCAAGTGAATGTACTCATTTTGAAAGTAATGTTACTCAAGTACAGTATTTAATTTACCCCTTAATTTGGGCTTATTATGTGCACATATTGGTCTCTGCAGGCATTGGGTTCTGTCTCAAACACCAAAGAAATCAATTTCCCCAAAGCCTGTAAAAAACAACGTAAACAACGTAAAAGGAAGAACTGGTCATCACAAGAAAAGGTAAACATCTATTATCATTAATTTGATCTGGCCTATAGTTGATTATATTGGACAACCTTCAGTACGTGCTTACTAAAGTGAACGTACTTGTTTTGGAATTTTTGTCGATTCAAGTAAAGTGTTTGTTCTACCCCTTAGTTTTGGACTATTATGTACATAATTTGAGTTTTTCAGGCATTGGGTTCTGTTTCGATCTCCAAGAAAAGAAACTTCCCGAAAACCTCTAAATAACAATGTAAAAGGACTAACTCCCTATCACAAGAAGAGGTAAAACAGTTATTATTATTAATTAGAGCTAATAACATCAGACATTCTTCAGTAACTAGTAAGTGATAGAAAAATGAATGTTTTCGTTTGGAAGTTATGTGGATTCAGGTATAGTACTTGTTCTACCCTTTAGTTTTTGGCTTATTATGTACGAAAATTGAGTGGTGCAGGTATTGGGTTCTGTCTCAATCACCCCAAGCAAAGCAACTTCCCAAAACCTCTAAAGAACAACGTAAAAGGAAGAACGCACCTGCAACATTGTTTATTATTGATAATTTGAGTTAACTTGCAGTTAATGAGATTAGAAAACCTTCATTAAGTGATTACTAAAGTGAATCTTCCATAAAATTTACCAATGAGGTTATCTATGTGTGGAAACTAGTTCTGCTTTTGTCTATTTAGCTAAAGAGTTGAGGGTATTTTCGTTTTTCTATCTTCAATGTATCTGTTCTCTATATGTGCTATAATCCTGATGTCATGGAATTTTATAAAGAAGTTATCAGTTGTAACTGAAGTTAAGACTTTTGACCAATGAAGAATCTGATGTGCATCTTTTTTATGCTTCCACCTCGTCTCTGTATGTGTCAGCGTTTGCTCTCTTGATTTATGAGCATCTCTATCATCTTTTCCTTGGGATTCCGCGGATAAGGTTTTCAGAGAGCATGGCAAGGAGCTGGTTGGCTGCTAAGTAAGGGTTTGGTGGCCACTTGATCAAGTGTGTGTGATTTCACTGAATTGCTAAGTTCGCAAGAATCTTCACTTTTGATGTTGCACCCGTGTCAGATTCTCCAAAAATTGACCCGTTGACATTTTTGAAGAGTCCGAACAACATAGATGAATTGATATATCTTTTTTTTTTATGTGTTGGCTTGCTCTTTTACCGAGTGTGTGGAATTTTTTTCTGAATAAACTCTTAATGAATTGCTTTGTCATAATTTTCTTAATATGAATAATGCATATGCATCAGCCTTAGTTATGATGTCAATTGCAGAAATATTTTGTATTTTGAGGACCTAACATTGTAGGTTATATTTGAGAAAGATAATGGTGCAGCTGCTTCTTTATGTTTTAATAGAAAGAGGTCTTTTTTCTCCTCCCCTCTTCCCTACCTTCCAATCAAATGAAAAGAAAAGGTTTGTTAGTATGGGAATATATGTTTCAAATCTGATGTTAACCAATGGTGAGACCTTTCGTAAGGTAAAATATGACGACAAGTTAAAAGGATATTGTTAAGCAGATGTATCTGATTGGTTGCCATGCTTTGAGCCTTGATCCTGGGCGAGACTGACACTCAATGCCTTAATAGTTTGAGTTGAATGACATAGTGAATATCAAGTTCAAAGCTGAGCATATCTTCTCTGCTTTTCTTTAACTTGTTTGATGGTGCTTGAGATAATTATATTTACATTTTCAATCTGGTTAGAATATTAGTCATATAAGAAAAGGACAATATGTCCTTCACGTTTTCCAAATATTCAAATATTATTCCTGATTAGTAATTGTACAAAATGATATTTATATAAAGTAAATCACAATACCACGTCGATATCAATCCTCCTCCATCAAACTGTATGGCAGCTAGGTTTTGATGCCTTTCAAATTGTAGAACAAGACATTGATTTCTTAACAAAATGAATTCATTAACATTCTTTTCAACACATAATGTTTTTTTTTTAACGATCTTCTACTTCAACGGTATTTACGGTTTCTTGAATAATCCAATCAATATCTCATGCTCTAAGTTAAGGATAAACTACATATATAAATATTTTACCTATAGTTTTTTAATAAGTATACCGTATATTTTAAAAAGTTAAATTAGATACACAAATCTCTTAAATATGATATTAAATAATTATTTTAAGATTTAAACTCATTAATTAAAGGTACATTAACAATTCAAATTCTCATCTTCCAGTATCGGTCTTCCTCCCTTCTCTCCAACCACGTTCTTCACCATCATTACTGGTCCTCCATTGTTGCTAGAATGAATACAACCACAAATGCACAATCCTAGCAATAAGATGATTCAAGCAGAACTCTAAACAATACTTTAATCATTCAATTGTGTTTTTTTCTTTAACTGTAGAAGTTTAAAATGTGATTGTGAGGTATCTATATATTATTCATTTATTATTTAAGTGGTAGATCTTGTATATGGTTTTTGAGATGTATCTGATGGTCAATTTTGATGTATCTCAGTTTTGTCATGTATTTTACAGAATAAAATTTATGTATCCATATTTTGTTATATTTTTTAGTGAAACAGAATGTATGTATCTAAGTATGTAGTTTGATTCTTAATGTGTATCTGATTTTTAGAAAGGAATGTATGTTTTTCAGATATGATTTTTTATAGATTTGGTGTATTATTTCATTGGTATCTCAGATTTGGTATCTATCTATGAAGTCTGACCTGTACTCAAAACTTTTTATAAAAGGATATAGCGCTATAAATAGATACATGAACTCATTCTCTACTGACTTATGCATTCGGGTGACTTATACATGAACTCATTCTCTCCTGACTTAGTTATAATCGTTGAGGCCGCGAGATACATGCTTAATATATATAAGATACAACTTATATATTAACACTTATCATGAATTCTCTATACATATACTCACAACGAATTTGAGATACATGGCTAACAAATTATACATTCTACACAAATTATTACTCTTAGGCATCATATCGTTAATTTTAACAATGACGTATACATTATTTGTCCGAGATATACACTAAAAAATTATGAGACTTTTTTTTTTTATAATATTGTGATATTCGCCATTTGCAACAAAAAAAAACACTTAATTGAAGATTCAAATGAAGGAATTGATGAAGAAGATGAAGTTTAAAATTTTAAAATTACTAATCGTTATGGTTTAGATTTTTTATTAAAATTGGTAATACTTGGTACGGATGGATCCACTAAATTTGGTTTGTTTGTTAATTTCCCATCATTTACTCCTTTATTTAAGAAATTAAGTTACACCATTTAATTCAGATCAATTAAATTATGTATCTCGTCCTTTTAAATTTGATAGATACATGTATCTAATGGCTTATGATGCATGTATTCAATAACCGAAAATGATATAAAAAGTAATATTGAAAACTATATATCGGGATTCCTAGTAGTTAGATCTAAAGTAGTGGATTTAGGTAGTTTTTCCGTTAATCAAATTGTTTCTACAATAATGAGGTAGAAAATGAAAATGAAAATGAAAATGAAATATTTTGATAATTTCAGTCACAAACTTTTTTTAAGCGATTCATTCTTTATTTATAATTGAACGACTATTTATGGTCCCAGATTCTAATATTAATTATTTTATTTTATTTTTGTAAAATAGATTACTAAGAACTCTCGTATTGCATGCTATTCTTTATTCTTTTAATGCTATTCAAAATAAAGTGTAAATTATTTCTAAATATATGTTCCTCTTCAAATATGAAACATGTTAATTTTGCAATCTTTACCCTTCTTTATTTGAATGTTTAATTTGGATATATAAAAAAAGACTCAACAAGTAGATTCATGTAATAGTGCAAACATAGAACTATATTTATTAAACTATATTAAATTCTAACATTTTTTTAAAAATGATTCATTATAAAATAAATTCAAGAATGCAATAATTCATTGTAAAAATAAATTCATTATACATAATGTTTATTGTTTCTTAATAATCAAATATTATTTATTGTATCTTTACTAAAAATATTCAGTGTATGATTGTGAGAGAATAAACCATATAAGCAACATAGGAAATCTCTTGAAATCATATAAAAATGGCTTCTCATTTAAAAGGTGTCACAAAATCGACATTGAAAGATCAAATACGTAAATTATTATGTGAGTTAAAAAGAGATTATTCCACATGCACTCAAAAAGATTTGCGGTTGTGGCAACATCGAAACTTTTTGCATGCAACAAGAAAAGTTAAAAATGGGTTTCAACTAGATTTACATTTTAGGAATCCAAAAATGTACAACAAAAAATTGTTTCTTTTCTTACAAGGTGTATGATATTTTTATTAGGGTTCAACTAAATTCAAATAACGAAAAGTTTCAATTTGAAGTAAAACATTTCCTAACAAAAGTAAGATGTGTAAGACTCAAACATGATACTTCTGGTTAAACATGAAGTAATCACAAACCTTATTTACAAAAAAGCAACTTCCATTAACAGTAGAAAAATCCTACATATTGCCAAATATTTAAGAGAAAGTAAAAACCAACTAGATAAATTTACAAGAGTAACATCAAACAAAGCTACCATGTCATAAATCTAACATATCATTATGAAGCAAAAACTGCACTCACACCTAGGGGTGTCAAAAGAATATGATAAATTGACTGAATCGATCGAACCTAATCAAACCGATTTATATTATTTTCTTAATAAAATTGTAATTTTTTATAGAAGTGTATAACTATCCCAAATATAAATGATCTTTTTAAATTTATAAAAAAAATTGAAATTTTCTGAACTGAAACGAATAATATGTACATATATTTTATATATTAACAATATGCTAAATTTAATATATAAATATATTTTATAATATTTTTCAAATATAAATATAACATAAGTCTTAGGCTTATGGTGACTGGACGACTTTAGATCTTTGCTCTTTAATTAGCATTTATTTAATTATGTTTAAAATTAAAAGAGACTATAATAGCTACTCCATCAAACAATACGACAAAATCTATGCAAGCACTCCTATTAAATGTTTAAGATCAAAGAATACGACAACAAGATTTTTACATTCTTGACTTCTTGGTGAAGAATTGAAGTGTTTCTTCAAGAACATACTTGCGAAAGAATATTTTGATAATAGTATATTTTTAGGTGATATTTTAAAAAATGAAAATTTAACGAAATGGACCGATACCGAAGAGAAATCGATATGTTGGGATGATTTAAAAAAATGTAATTTTTATACATTATAAAATACCCAAAAAAATTGGGATGACATAATTTTAAAAAAATAACCAATTGAACCGTCTCATTGACACCTATACTCACACCAACATCTATAGAAAATTTAAATAATAGGATTATCTCAATAAATTTAGTCAATATTACTATAAACAAGAGTGTTGTGATGCGATGTATATGATTCTTCAATCGTTAATCAGATGTTTCGAATTCAAATCTTGAATTTGAAAATATTTTAATAGGAATTTGTTCCCTCTACGAATACAAACTAATCGAGGATTTAATGTGAAATACCTACCATATGTTGAGTGAAAAACACAATTAATACAATTTATTTTAAATTCCATTGGAATTGTTTTATTTAGAAGAATAATTATTCTATAATAATAAGTTCCATCGATATTATTTTATTTAGAAAAATAATAAATTATCACATTTAATATGCCATTAAAATGTGTTGATTTTTTTACCCTTCATTATTAATTACAACACCTAGTCAAATGTGTATGCAATGAAAGTAAAAGTTTTTCCAATTTAATAGTCAAAACAAAATTTTCCAATAAAAAAAAAAAGAGAAAACAAAATACAAAGAAATCAAAGTTTAGTTTTGCCGCTAAAGTGTGTATGTAATAAAACTTAACTTTTTTTTCCAATTTTAGACATTTTAAAAATAGAAAAAGACCTTCGTACAAGTAATCTAAGTTCACTGTTCGAAGGACAAAACAGTCCAATAAATAAAGTGTCTCTCTTTTGTCCGTCTTAAAAAGGTCCTTTCTTGAACTTCTTGAAACAAAAAATTTGGTGTCTTTCTGCACTTTTACAGAGCCACGTAGAGTGCAAATGCCAAATTAAGCAAACAGTACACGAGAAAAGCACAAACACCCTGAAAAAAGTTGTGAAATTCAAACTTAAAATTTGAGAAAAAATGCAATTAATGTGAGTGAATCCAGTGGAGATTACAGTTTGGAGGGGTTGTTTATGTATGCCAATTTTGTCCCTAAATTTGCTTCCAAACACAAACCCCACTTGTATATAATCAGCCTTTGTTGTGTCTGAGATTGCATTTTCTTCCTAGGGTGTTGTTTATTTTTGGGGTTC